TCCAAATCCTAATCCTCATGTTCGGTTGCAAATAATATATTCCACTAGATATTCTGGTCTCACGGTTGCAAAGCCCCCCTAAAAGTCGTTTGCCATTGAAAAACAAATAATAGATCGATAACTAATCTTCTTGTCTCATACCGCAACTCGAATATTGAAAATGTAGAGTATGATGAACATTAAAACTAAAAAAGTAAATATAATAAGTGAACTTATACATAACAATATATTATCGGCTTTGTTTTTCTTCTTTCACATGAAAAAAGAAATTTCCTACACACACATGTTTAAGGTAGGCCTCACTATTAAGAAATTAGAAAAATAAAAAAATAAAGCACATATATCGATGTATGAGTGACTTAAGAAATACTTTCTCCAACAATATAAGAAAGTATTTCCCCATATATTATATGTTCTCATCATTTCAATTATGGCTCTTTGACTCATTGGGATTTTTTAAGATTTTAATATACAAATTTGGTATTTGATTCAAGATTTTTACCAATGGGGTCATTGAGTGACGCGAGGGGGACCCAGCAGCACTAAGTGCTGCGAACCACCCCCGCGTCACTCACATATTGATTTATTTATTTTTTCAATTGAGTGACGCCCCCTCCCTTGCTGAACTCATAGAATTGTGCCATGTGGCACAATCTGCTTAATTTTGTTATTGTAAAATTTCGGAAGATAATAACTTTTGATTCAGGTATTCAAATCAAATATTTTTTTTATTTCACATAACTTTTTGAGATCTACGCAATGACACCTCATTTGACATATTTTATCTTCCATCAATATAGTTCAAATTTGCAACAATAGTTTCACATTTTTATAAATTCAAACTATGTTTGTGAGAGATAAAATATGTCAAATGAGGTGTCATTCCGTAGATCTCGAAAAGTTATGTCAAATCAAAAAAAAAACTTTTGATTTGGATACCCGAGTTAAAAGTTATTGTTTTACGAAATTTTACGTTAATGAGACTAATGAGATTGTGCCACGTGACATAATCTTATGAGTTTTCCAGGAGAGGAGGCGTCACTCAATTGAAAAAAAAAAATGACTGTGTGAGTGACGCGGGGGTGGTGGTTCCCTGCACTCAGTGCTGCTGGATCCCTTCGCGTCGCTTAATGACTCCATTGATAAATATCATGAATCAAATACCAAATTAAGAAATTAAAAGAATAAAAACTTCAAATAGATAAAAAAAAGCCTTTCAATTGTAGTGATAACACAAGCCTGTTAAACAAAGCATAAAACAAAGTTATTTTTATTTTATATTATTTATCGGTTCTATCCAATTCAGAGATGGATAGAATCACAATAAAATTCTCTCTGTCAAATTTTAAAACAGTTGCATTTCTAAATATTCAAAGTTGAAATTACTTATTAAGTTTAACCAACAGGTTACCAGATATCTTTAGCATTATAGATAGTAGAAATGAGACGACAATATATTGGTGGTAGGGATGAGATAGTGACTCGTCAGAACCGAAAACGACGAAGGAAGATCACATATAATTATAGAGGGCCGCATTTTGCGGGTTTTGGTGGAGATGCTCCCTACCAATCACTATACCACACACAAATTTCAGTGACAACTTTTGGCCTTTTGTCACAGCAAGGGTATTTGTGTCTTTTCATTAGTCAGTGGGTCAGGCAAAACTAGGCCACATGGGTAATGGATGTTCATGTGTGAATTGGATTTAGCCTCAGGGGCCTTTCCCTCCTTTTCGCACGAGTGATGAGCCCATGTTAGTGCAGGAATTTTTGTCTCCAATTTTTTAGGTTCAAACATCACACGCAGCAACGTCTATCTCATATTCGAGAAAAACTTCGATGTTATCGAACTTGATCCTCCATTTTATTAAAAAGAAAAAAAATTTATAAGATTTAAAGAAAAATGTAAAAAAAAAAAAAACATATGGATAAAAAGGGGGGAATTTTTTTTCTTTTTAATAAAATAGAGTACCGAAATACATTGAAGATTTTCTACGTGTCTCCTTGCAACAATTCTTGGCCACTGATTTCATCTTTACTTTTAATTCTTTTTCTAAAAATTATTATATTTAACCAGTTTTTTAATAAATATTTTTTTACTATATTATACAAAAGATAACTAAAAAGCCAATACCTATGCAAGAAATTACTTGGTGTAGAAGATAACGTAATAAGTTGTGTGGATAAATAACATTATTTTAAAATTAATTACTAGATGCCTCCAATTTGTCTTATTATTTTCTTGTTCAACTCAATAGATGATTTATTTGCAAAATTTGGTCGATGATCTTGAATCATTATCAGGTGCTGACATATTTGGTTTTATTATGTTGGATCCTTGTCGAATATTTCAAAAAAAATTTACATTGTCAATTCATATATAGTTTTTTTAGGGTGGCAATTTTTAACCCATCATGCCAATGCCATTTGAACATGGCACACAATTATTGTATATGTGTCAATCTATAATAAAAAAATTTTTATGTCATGTTCATGGTAAGAATATACATATTTGTGTTGATTTATTTAAATTAAAAAAATATAATTACATATTTATTTTCACTTATTTCAATTTTTATCTATTAATTTTGATTTATTTACATAATTTTTGTTTAAAATTAAAATTGTCGAATTATTCATATATCAATCCGCATAATAAATATATCGTGCCAATTGAATTCCGTGCCTACTAATTAAACCGAGAGTATCAATGTCTAATAAATTATGTTCCAATGAAAATGTAATGTTAATTAACAAGCAAGCTGGCTCGGGCCAATTAGGCATAAGCGCTAAGCCCTATCCTCCAAGCTGAACTTGACGCAAACAAGTCATAATTTCTTTTGCTTTTTTGGCCAAGCTGAAATGAAGGTTATGTTTAATTACTGATTTTAAAAATAGTTTTTTAGTTGTCAGAAAAAAAAAAAAAACTTATTTGATAAGGTCTATTTTGTAAAATAAAATTAAAATCTGTAACTATTTTTTTGTTTTTAGAATCAAATTTAGAAAAGATATCTGACTTGTTTTTATTTTCTGTTTTAATTTTTAACTTTCAAAACAAAAAAAACACAAAAAACAACTGTTTTCATAATTATTCTACAAAACAATTTAAAAAAAAAAATCAAAACGCAATAATAGAGTCCCACAGTTTTTTGCTACCTCAAAAAAATAAAGGCTAGACTCTAGAGAGATCGAGAATCGAGATCATGATCTGTGTCCGAAGACTGACCATTGACCAAACTATAAGCCAATTGGAAAGAGATTTTGTCAGGTAACAAAAATTGAACATTGCACGATAAGGCAGATCGAGGAGGCTCTTGTTATTGACTAAAATGCTGTACAGCCAATACACGCAATTGACAAAGTGCCGAGAAAACGACCGAGTCACTCTCAAAGCTGAAGAGCTTTCCGTTCTGTACAGTGATTTATTTAAAGTAAGAAATGACATGCAAACTGAACTTATAATATGGTGTATGACTGCAGCAAGACCTTGACTCCAGTCTCCATTTTGAAAGGACTGCTTTGGATTTCACAAGCCAAGGATCCAAATGATTGTGTACACAAATTTTCTTCTTAATGTGTACATTTGGCATGAATTTAATAGGGATGGTTTGTATGTAAATTTTGATTTTATATATATTGAAATAAATATGGTGATGTAATTGATTGACGTTGCATTAATAGAGATCTTCGTTCGATTAAAAGGGAAAGATAACGATATAATCAATCATTATAAAAATAGAATTAATACCCATTTTACTCTATCAAAAGTCAATGTGTCGATAGTTTATTACATTGATGATGAATATATAAAAATAGTCCTTTAAAATCAATATTTTATCAAATTAGTCTGCTAAAATGTCATTTTTTACGTGAAATTGGTCAAGACTAATTTCATATTAAAAACAACATTGAAGTACCCTTTAAAAATAATTATGATTGTAATCACATTGATAACACTTATCTTTGAAGAATTAAAACGAGTGTCATGATGTCCGGTAACATCTTATTTCAAAGAAACAATACCTTTTAAAAAAATTTATTTCATAAAATTATTAAAAAAAAGATGACACTAAAATAAGTTAATCTAAACATGTATTATTTATTTTAAAACTTTTAAATGAAATAATTTAAAAATTATTTGATAGAATTAAATAATGTTGACATATGTAGTTAAATTTACATATCAAGATAATTTTTAATTATTGTGTTAAGGGGAGTTGACTTGACTACTTGGATGTAGGGGTGTTCATCAACCGATCCAAACTGCGGTGACCGAACCGAAAATTCGAAAACCGAATAAACCGAAAATTGAAAAATCCCAAATCGAAAAAAATCACAAATTTTAATTGGATTAGGTTGATTTTCGGATAGGTTGATGAAAACCGATCCAATATATTAATTCGGATCTTGGTAAAATTACATGGATGGTAAAACACTCCCTATCAATTTTTTTAACATAACGATGTACCCAAAACTCAAAATCAATACCACTGATTAATCTAAAACAACCACATATCAATTGATCGACCTACTTAAAAAAAAATTAAGAATTCTTACATGCAGTAATAAAATCACCTTTGTCTTTTGGAGACATCAAACACAAACATAACAAGTGGGCCACCTGAATTGGCAGCTCCGAAATATTTGAGCCCACATGAGGTAAGGCACACAAATCTGCAAAAGCCCATTTCCCAAGATTGGAAAAACACACACCACTACACCAATAGTCCAAATAAAGTGCACACGTGATAAAATCCTTGGGCTTGGTTCTCAAAGTCAAAACTCAGTCCCACTCCCACAACCACGTCGCAGTACTGATATTTTGCTTCCCGTTATGGGCGCATTCACGTATCACTTAACTCGTGGTCTCTCTCTCTCTCACACACACACACACGACATCAACATTAAGAACATCACGTCCTCGTACTCTCTCTCTCTCTCTCTCTATATATATATAAAAATGTATACGAGGGTTATTACGTTGTTAACAGTTGAAGACTATGGCTCAGAAGAAATTTGGTCACGTTGAAACTAAGGCGACATTATTGGGTGCAGTTACAGTACTAGCTCTCCACCTTATAATTCCAGAAACCATTTTCCTCGTGAGAGGGCATGCACACCAAACGGACGGCGCCGTTAGAATCGTCAGGGTTCGAAAGGACGGTGGGGGAGACTTTAGGACTGTGACGGACGCCGTTAACAGCATTCCGTCAGGGAACAAGGGGCGAGTGGTGGTGTGGATCGGCGTGGGAGAGTATCGCGAGAAGATCACAGTGGATAGGTCGAAGCCGTTCGTTACGTTTTATGGAGAAAGCAATGGGAACGACGACGACATGGCCACCATAACCTACGACGGAACAGCGTTGCAGTATGGGACAGTTGATAGCGCCACCGTTGCTGTTGACGCTGACTATTTTGTGGCTGCCAATGTAGCATTTGTGGTGCGTTTTTTAATTTCCTCTTATTTTCTTCTTGTTGGGCTATTTATCTTGTTTTATTATCTACAAAAATATTTAAAAAATTATGTAATAATTAAGATATATAACGTAGAAATATCATTTTCCCTCAATTAAATGAGTTCGAATCATTAATGGTAAAACTTCGAACTTATGATATTGTTATGATGTTCTCTAATAAAAACATGTAATGTGTTTTATTTTTGATATCAAAAAAAAAAAAAAATGTGTTTTATTTTTAGCCACGTCAACCAACCTTCTTTTAAAAGTTTTTATAGTTTAGATGTGAAAAATGAGGTAGGATATTCCTACTACCTATTTTTTCTACTACCACTTCACTACCACTTTAATCACCATTGGATTCAAAAGTTATTATTTTTTACCTCTCTTCATTCAACTTTTCCTTTAATCAAATGGTGATTAGAGTGGTAGTGGAGTGGTAGTAAAAAAAATAAGTAATTAGAATATGCTAGGTGAAAAATACATGAAACATTTTTATTTGAGAAAAGTACCAAAATCACATAAAATAATTTATGTAAGTCTTGTCCTGGGTACACTTATTAGTAGTATGGACCAAATTGATAAAAGTCAACTAGTAATCATGTGTGATGCTCAAGAGTGACTTTTGACGTATGCATTCTTGGTTGGCTTCATGGTCGTTGCTGCAGCCTTTAGCTGTTTTCTTGTTTCTTTTTTCTTTTTCCAATGTATATATATATATATATATATATATATATATATATATATATATATATATATATATATATATAGGGTTTTATAAGAGTTATGTTGTAGGAAAAATGATTGTGTAATGTTATAGAGATTCGTTTTGCGTGCCGTAATTTCTTTTTTTCTTTTTTCTTCAAAAAGTGTGGGCCCCACAAAATGTTGTGTGTGTAGGAAAGTTTCTTGTGTCATGTTAAATGACAAATGCAAACCCCGTATATATATATATATATATATATATATATATATATATATATATATATATATGATATATATCCATAATATGGGCAATAAATTTAATTCTCTTTCATGAAACAACTTATGATTAATCGTTACTGTGTCCAAAATGATCTTGTCATATTCATCGTGTATTTTGTATGTGCTTAACGTTTGCTGCACATATACGAACAGAACTCGTCTCCTATGCCAGATGAAAATAGTGTTGGAGCACAAGCGTTAGCGATGAGGATATCAGGGGACAAGGCTGCATTCTACAACTGCAAGTTTATTGGCTTTCAAGATACCTTATGTGATGACAGAGGCAGGCATTTTTTCAGGGACTGCTACATCCAAGGCACCTATGATTTCATCTTTGGAAATGGAAAATCCCTCTACTTGGTATATTAGCCTATTATATGACATATATTAATAACCACCTTAAATATTTTCCAATTATTATTATATATGTTTAAAGGGTAATCCCATTTCAAATTTCGTATGGTTCATATATATATATGATATGGGTTTTGTGTGTGTATAGAGAACTACCATACATTCTGTTGCAAAGGGTTTGAGTGTTATCACAGCACAAGGTAGGGAAAGCACGTCAGAAGACACTGGATTCACTTTTGTGCATTGCAACATAACCGGAAGTGGTGACAGGAACACTTACCTTGGTCGTGCTTGGAAGGAGAGCCCCAGGGTGGTTTTTGCCTACACGTACATGGGTTCCCTCATTAATAACCGAGGATGGTTCACAAACGAACTTGCTCGAGTCAAACCTAATCAGTAGGTTTAAGCTAACCAGTTAGTCACTACTGTTCTCTACAGATACCATTTATTCATTTATTTGTTAAAATAGTTAAAAAATGAAAACACACAATACACTTTTATTTTACTTATTATTATTGTTTGACAGAGTGTAAATAAAAATAAAATTTTAGGTTTCCATTTATCAGTTACTCGAACAAACATAGCTTTCAATAAGTTACTCGAACAAACATAGCTTTAGTCATTGATTTCCCTGTATTCAGTGTTGTGTGATTTTTTAACGTTAGTCTCAACCACTCAATTATTGCTAATTATTTATATTGACTTGTGTATTTTGTTAATAGGACAATATATTATGGAGAATATAGGTGCATGGGACCAGGAGCTGCTTCCTCTGGGCGCGTAAAATTTCGCAAGATATTATCTGATGAAGAAGCAAAGCCCTTCTTGAGCATGGCTTATATTCATGGAGGAAAGTGGGTTGTCCCACCTCCCAAGCTGTGATACAAATAAGTGAAATAACTGCGCATGCATGCGCCAATAAAGATAAGAGAAAATTCACATACTCATATTATGATTGTGCTAGCTCCCTTACGTCCTTGTCTGCTAGTTAGTCTGACATAGTGTCACGTAAAACTTTGAAAACTCTGTTAGTTGTGTGTAGTACGTACTTGATTGTTGTAAGAAACCCTATCTATGTAGTAATGTGACGTAAGATGTTGTACATATGAATTTCATTTAATATGATGAAAGTATGGCCATAAGTTACTACAAAAAGAACAAAGTAGGAGGATATATATGGAGACAATTAGACACAACCCCCGTTTGGCAAATTGTTGTACTACATTGTGTTCTTGATTTTTTTATTTTTAAAACTGTTTTGTAAAATAGTTATAGAAACAATTATTTTTTATATTTTTTAATTTTTGAAAGTTAAAAATCAAAACAGAAAATAAAAACAATTCAGACATATTCTCTAAATTTGATTCTAAAAACAAAAAAAACAATTATAGTTTTCAAAACATTTTTTATAAATCAGGCCTTACTGAACGAGTTTTTTAATTTTTTTTTATTCTGAAAACTAAAAAACTGATTTTAAAAACAACAATCAAACAGAGCCTAAATCACAGTCGCATTAATAGAGATGCCTTTGTTTTACCCAGTAGACTCAAGCTGCCATTGCCACCCCAACATTGTAATTATTCACTTACCATATGAATTTCCTTTAATATGAAAGTATGGCCATAAGTTACTACAAAAAGAAAGGAGATAGCTAGATATGCATTATTATAAGTATGATTGATTGCAATAATAAGGGTAAGCAAAGAAATAGAAAGTGGGGGGGGGGGGGGGGGAATTAATTTCTCATACATCCACCACATTTGCAGTTATAACATATCATTAACTAGTGCAATTAAAGATTAAACAGAAAATTTGTATCTTATTTTTCGCCTTGTACGCTTACATTATATTTTACCTTGCAGTGGACTAAAGTTCTATTTGAGAGGAATAGGAAGGAAATTTTTAGAGGGACTGGCAAAACCTTTAAAATCCAGCTATATAATACCTTGTCCGGGTCGTGCATGGCATGCATCACTAGGGCCGGCAAAATGGGCTGAACCCGCCGGGCTGGCCCGCCCCGCCTGCCAAATAGGGCGGGCTGGGTTGAGTTTTTCAACCCACCAGCCCGCCAAACCCGCCCCGCCAAACCCGCTAGCCCATATGGGTCAGCCCGCCACGGGGCGGGCTAGCCCGCCAAGTCCTTTTTTTTTTTTTAGATCACCCAATTGTTATGTAGCTCCGTATCTTAGATTTCTCTGCATGCAAGTGGCTTTTTTGAATTGTTGTGGACTGCTCATACAACACTTTGTTACTTGTTTTGTTACTCTATTTTATCCTGATATGATTTTATTTTTTTATTATTATTTTTGGATTGAAAGATGCATATTTATATGCAGATTATTAAACACTGATCTTCTTGGTTTCATAAGCACATTAGGATTTTATGCAAATTTTTGTATGCTTTTATGCAGATTTTTTTATGTGATTTTATGCAGAATTTAATTTTTTGTATTTTATTTTTATATTTTTATATTTTAGGCGGGCTGGCCCGTAGCCCGCCAGCCCACTCATAAAACGGGCCGGGTTACTCAATTCAACCCATTTTGTCAAAACGAGCCGGGGCGGGGCGGGACAGGCTGGCCCATATTGCCAGCCCTATGCATCACAATGAAGATAGTATAAAATTTAATTTGTTAATCTTGTCTTTCGTTCTTCTTCTTTTTTTATAAAATAAAATTGCACAGTACTTTAATGCTTTTTGATGCTCAGAAACAAGGTAGTCAACCCACTGCCACCGAGTGAGGTCTCATAAGTTACGAAACAATTTAAGAAACTAATGCTTGCCCACCCACCCCTAAAATTGTTGCAACCTTTAAATCAACGGAAAAATATTTCTGCATAAATTATCTGTATTTATTCTTAAAATGACATCGTTTTGGATTAAAAGATTAACAAATTATAATTATGAAGACTATAATAATCCTGAAATAAATTAAAATTATAAAAATATCATAATTTCTGCTCCAAAACAACATCGTATTGGACTTACCGGAGAACTTTAAATAAATCCTCAAATTTATTGGATGCACAAGCACAACATCTAGCGACTAGCGTTGAAGTACAGCCTCAGAAAGTCATAAATTCTAAGGGATTTGTAAACAAGAAAAAAAAAAACATCTCCCTAAACTCAATTATGCCAATTGCACTTTCTCAGTTGAAGATGTACCGAGTAGCTAAAAATAACTTTATTAATTAATTAACTTTAAGAAGTATTAGATCATTCACTGTACTGCATTCATAATATATAAAAATTTGTATGTGCACAAGCGGTCCCACGTATATCATGATTTCATGAGTGTTGTGGGGTATTCGGCCCAAACCGATTAAAAGGCCTAAAAAAAGGGAGCTAGGTTGAAACGCAACTTACGCAAGAGGTTTTGTACATGACATAGTTTGTTAATGGCCAGAAAAAAGAGAGGACAAAGTTTGTTCAACATCATCAATTAATAAATAATGAATGTGAACAGAATAAATATCAGATCTTTTTAGCAATCACACTCATGCTGTCACCTTTCCAACATGTGCACAGATGAGATGCAGGGAATAATGGAAGCCTCATTGTCAACGCATTAAGAACACTCAAGTTATTGTTTACTAAATAATAAATAGCCATATGGTCTGAATGGAACTAGAACAGCTCAAAAGGGGATTTTATTGGAAGATTACGTTACCCAGGCACATGACGATCAGATTTTATTTTGTTTTTCTTTTGAAAGGAGAAATTAAGCAACTTTTCCTGTATGAAAATGTGTATACGGAAGTCTTTGGTTTTTATATGAGAGCGCTGGTCATAGAAAGGCCCAAAATCTGAGTTTAAAGAAATCAGCACCTCACAATGAAACCACATAAAAGGTGAACCAATACTTGATTTAGAAAATGATGCTATCAAGCACTTTTAACCAAAAAAGAAACACTCATTTTCACTTTGATAAGTGGAGAACGGCTCATTAAATATTAAAGCTGTTCCATTTGAATGTGCCAACAGATTTTAGTTAGAAAAGTACATGTATTAGGAGATGCGGTTCTTATACTGAATCAGAGAGTACATGGAGGTTCACCAACCACTGTACCAGCTGATTGTTGCAAAAGCACCAAAAATCTTTCTAACTAGGGTATTCTATCATTTTACACATCAGAAATCAAAACAATAAAGATATAAGCAAAGAAAACCTACTTCACACTTGAAACCAGCGCTATGATATGCACCTCCATAAAGATTAGAGTAATTATTTACTCTTTCACAGTTCCTGTGTTTGCAGCTGCAATTTCACCAAGGGTCTGAAAGTTGGTGGAAAAGGAAAGGGTTATGTTATTGCACAATGCACTTCACATTACTACATTTTTACATTTGTTTTGGACACGAAAAAATATAGATAGAATGTTTTAGAATTCGCGTTTTTTCTTTTTTTATCATAAAAAAAAAAAAAAAAAACTACCCAAAAAAAAAGGAAGTGGTGTAAGTATGGTATAATAAAAACGGTGTGCAAAATGTCATATTATTGGAAAGTGTGAAAAGAACAAACAACAGAGAAAATTATACTTTCATGATAATGATAAAAAAAAAATGTAATAACTGTCTGCGACTTTGGGGTAATTTTGACATTTAGTTGGATTAGATGCCCTATGTTTGGACCATACTTCCTATCCCCATGATTCAAGCACTATACCCAGGAACAATTACCTATCAGTTATATGCTCTCATCTCCTAAGGCCATGCACACCTATATCTTTCTAAAAGAAAAAAAAAAATTGTGCGCTTCCTAAGGTTTCTTGGCTTATTCTAAATCATGGATGATGGTAGATATTGGAACATTGACTATGCTGGTAAATGCAATTGAAATGATATTAAATAATGTGATTAACTTACGGCATCTGTCATGGTGCTCTATGATGGTTCTCCATGCAGTTCAGGAGGTATTTAAATGTCTCAATATCACATGGGATTGTAAGCCCCCCACTCTGGTCAAACCCAAATTCCTCTGCAGCCTTTTCCAGCAACACTTTGAACAGAGAGTGGCTAAGGTAGCTGGTGGGAATAATGAAACGCCGAAGCTCTGACCCAACATAGACAGCTAAGTATCCTTTGGGAACATCATGAGGGGGTTGAGGACTGTGGCAGCTATCCTCATCCGAGTCACAATACACAACATTTGTTAGCCTTTTGTTAACTATCGGTGATATGCCCACATGATTCACATCAGAATGTTTATCGGACTCTTTTGCACCCAGGGTGACAGTTTGCCACTTCTGAAACATTTCCTTTAGTCTCACAATCTGTCTAATTCCAGTAAATTTGTATCCTCCATCATCCTCCATTGATAAACTTTCACCACAACAGTTAAAAGTATCCCAAGATTAAATTCAGCAGATCCCACTCTACACTAAAAAGTTTACACAAAATGAAACAATTAGTCATATTTTAAATTCTTCAAAAACTAAAAAGAAAAAATAAATGTTATGCTTTCCTTTATTAGCTGGCTGCATAGAAGTATTTAAAATTTTTTAAAATAATAATAATAATAAACAGAGAAGCCAGAAGGAAAACATTCACAGATCATCTCAGTACAAAAAATAAAAGAGAAAAACAAGCACGTCCAAGAGAAGGTATGGGTGCGATTTATGTTCACTGCTGGTAATTGCTAATGAGTTTCAGATACTCTTCTTAATTTCATATTCTCATATAATTGATAATTATATGCTTTCCTCACCTCACCTCATAGCATATAAGGCATATCAATATTCTTAATGAGAATCAAATACTCAAATTTCGTTGTTCACTTATCCAGCTGCACTCCTCAATTACTGGCTAGTCAAGTTATGCATGTATTGTTCAATAAAGGCATATCATAGTCTTTCCACCTCCAAACTGAGCTACCAATCCAATCAAGTGGATGAACATAATGTACATCGAAAATATTCTTAGGCCTCTCAAAAATGGTGAAATAAAAACAAAAACAAAAAATTATATATTAGCATTTCTTTTGTATTTCATACAAACAGAAAGAGGATTGCTATTTTCACATCTAGGCGACTAGTTGAAAGGAAGTCAATTTGTATAGTGAAGTTACTAGACTTCTACCAATTCCCAATTACTTAGCTATTTATTTTTAATCTCTAGAAAAATCACCTTTTTCTGAATTTAGAAATCAGTTTATAATCCGGTGCTCTGTTTCATTTTCCTGAATCAGAACCCAAGATCCTCATAGATCTATAAGCCAGAGAAGAATCAATGTAATCTATAGTTGCGTGGAACGTGAAGTTTACGAACTACCCATTGATCTATAATTGATCATGAGAGTGGTGACCTTCAAATTGGCGTTTCAAACATACTTCAAAAAATAAATATAGTAAATGCAGTAAGAGAGAGATTGGTACCTGATATGGAAGAGAACATTATCTGTGAAGGAACACAACAGAGGGGAACTTGAGAAAAAATGTTGTTCTGTTCTTACAAAGATCAAATTCGAAATGAACAAGGGTTTCAACTCTGATTAAGTATACTAAGAAAAAGCAAAATCTTTTTGAGCTGTTTTCCTTTTCTTTCTTCCTTTCCAATCCTTAACGGACCTCTCGGAAAACCGGCTTCCAGTTTCGTCCTGCAAATAGCCACGACCAATGTATATATGTGCGGATTTAATGTTAGAAATAACTTTTTTTTTTATACATATGTTAGAAATAACTTATTTTTTCTAAAATAAAACAGTTTCGAATGGAAGAAAATATATTTTTATAAATTTATTTTATTTTGGATTATATTAATATCTATAATTATAATATTAGTGTTCTCTTACTCCAAAACGACTTGTATTAAATAATATAAAAAATATTTTTCATAGATAAAGTTATCTCTAGTAATCCAAAACTACATCATTTTGAGATTAAGAGAATTAATAAAAAAAAATTTCAGATTTTTTTTTTTACCAAAACACCCTTCGCTTAATCTTAAGTTATCTTTCATTAATCCTTTCAACACTCAAAACTACGTAATTAATTATTGGAGATAACTTTATATGGCATGAAAAAATTATAAACTCTTAAATAATATGGGATAAAATTATTTCCTATTATAAAAGAAATATTCAAATTTATATGCATATTTAATGGGATAATATTTCCATTTTTGTGGTAGAAATATTTTTCCAATCACACCCACATAAAGTGATTAAATCCAAAAAAATAAATATTAAATCCATATATACATAATGGGATATGTTATACTCATCATTTTTTTTTCTTATCACCTTTTACCACTCATCTTACTATCGTTAAATCAAAATCAAATCAATAGCTTTCACTTTATGTCATTTTATAATTGTTGACTTGTTTTTAATTCAGATAACGAAATTAATGGTAAGAGTATGGGTGTTTGTGGTTTGGATTGGATCGATTTCGGAAGCAAAAATCATCCGATCCAATTCCTTCTGTTTGATCATGTAATTATCCATTTGGTTTTGATTTTTTTTCAAATCCGATCAGATCCAATTGAATTTTTTCGATTTGAATTGGATCGGTTTTCGATTTCTTGTAAATTCTAAAATTTATTTTATGATTATTGTGCAAATAATATCTTTTGTATATATTGGCTTAGTAATTATCTTTTTTTTGAAATACAAAATTATTAGTAAATGATAATATCGTTTTTTTTTTCAAGCAATGAAATATGAAGCTCTACGCAGATGAAATTTTGTTGATGAGATGTGACTAGGTTTTTTCTTGGGTTAATGTGTCTTGGGTTTAAAAATTTTTGGGCTATGATTGAGGAAAGACCCAAATAGGTAGAGGGGAATCAATATATTGGATCGGTTTTCATCAACCAATCCAAAAACAAATCCAATCTAATTAAAATTTTCTGTTTTTTTTCGGTTATCGATTTTTTGCTTCGGTCGCCACGGTTTGAATTGATTTGGATCGGTTGATGAACACCCCTAAGTAAGAGGTGATAAATATGACCTTTCCCGTACCAAATAAAGGAAAAAATAATTTTATTTTTACATTCACTTATATATATATATATAATAACTTATCTCAAGTTATAATATATATATATATATATATGTGTATGTATGTAGGAAAAAATATTTCTTTTGCAGCAAGAAATAAGATTATCTGTTATAACTCCAAAACAACATCGTTTTAGGGTTTAAGAAAAAAGAATAGATGATATTTTTAAAAAATTATTTTTCTCTTGTATTATGAATATTACTAAAACACTCTACGCTATTTTTTTTCAAACTCCAAAATAAAATCATTATAAGATTATAAAAGATAATTTTATCTCATAAAAACGTTAATCTCATATATGTTTTTCAAATGGTACACACTAATAAGATAGAATACATAAATTCCATCCAATTTTGTGACAAAACATATTATTTGTCAGAAGGAATTCAATGGCGGCTTGTAGGGTTCTTCAATGTTCTGCAACCATGTGTATAGCTAGGAATACCTCAACCAGTGATTGGAAACAAGTCATATGTGTCCTCTGATTAATTAGACATTGTTATTCAAATTCATATTTTTTTATCTTGGGTATTTTCTTTTAATTTACATATATGGAGTATTGTTTTTTTTTTTTTTACTATTTTTTAGCTTTCAAAATAACATTAATTAAGAAATAACTGTCCCATCAAAAGAAAAAGGGGACGAAATAACTGTTTTTATTTAATAGAAAATATAAAGTTTTAAGTGTTATTTTTATTTTAGTGAGTGAGTTATTGAGTTTGAGTTATTGCACTTCAGTTGTAAATCTCCGTTACATGGTTAATGTTCAGTTAGATGGTTGAAATGGACTCTTAACTGAGTCACTAGGTTTTAACTCTATCAATATAACCATAAGATCTTTGTGAAACTCACGGAGAACAAAACTTCAACGAAATAAGAGTTCAGTTTCAGTTCATGTGAATGAGCCAACAAAACTGGGTTTTAATGGCTTGGTTATTGAAAATCAAGAACCTTGTCATTAGGTGTGAGTGTAGTTTTTTTTACACTGATAATATACAAAATTAAAATTTAAAAATATTCCCCCTTCTTTTGAAAAAAATGAAAGAATTTAAATCATCAATATATATATAATTTAAGTTTTTGAATTTTTATAAATTATCTCAAATTTTCTCTAGTTTATTACTGTTCATTTTTTTAAAATAAAAATTTGTTGGTGATTCCATTTTGTTGGCTTTAACAAGTGATAATAAAAGCTGTCTGAGTTCTAAGATTTACAAAGCATAGTTTATTATAAGGTATTAATATTTCTCATAATTATATGAGATAACAAGAAACAAAAAAAATATTTTTTTATAAAAAAAATAGAAGCATTTTGTTTAGAACATCAAATATATTTTTTTCTTTTATAATTTTTGTCTCTGTGTTAATTAATTAATCGACTAATCTATTTGAGTTCTGCAGATGACAAGAATAACAAAAACTCTGTCAATTAAATTTTTAATATAATAACATAAGGAAATGTATTTTTTTAAGTTGCTGTAATTTTATTTTATTTTTTTACAACAATTAATTAAAATTATATATTCTCAAAAATATAATTTTGCAGCAGCGTAAGAAAAAAAAAGACAAATAATATTCTACTTCTCAAATTCAAAACTGGAACACTAATCAAAATGTTACTGTTCATCAACTTTTTTACCTAAATGTCATGTGAACAGTATTATTTTCTAATCTGCCACGGGAGCAAATTCGTTACCCAATGTAGTGAACTTGGTTTGATGACGTGTTATATTTCTAGTAGATAACAAGTACCAAGTTAAAAAAAAAAAAGTTTGAAGTTCGCTACCCCGTGTAGCGAACTTGGTGTCCATTAGAAATGTGACACGTCAGCAAACTGAGTTCACTACACCGGGTAGCGAACTTGTCCTCGTGACAGATTGAAAAATAACACTATTCGTGTGATATTTAAGTAAAAAATTGGTGAAGAGTGACATTTTGGTCACTGTTCCAACCATATGTGGCATGTGATTAAAGTACTTGGTGGGTCGTAGCCTCGTAGGTGTGCAGCACAACTAATCATGGTTGGGTTTTGGGCTTTAGGTGACTGGGCCTTTGAAGTCTCTGTTATGGAAACCTGTCCTCAGGTTTTGCAACTCAACTGCGTTTCAGATGCTTTGGGGTTCTTCTGCGGTGCCTCACCTCAACCAACACCTTGTGTTGTAAGCGTTCATCAGTCGTTGCCTTTTTGGTCTCTCCTTCCTGATAAATCTAATTTCTCAACTTATCAATTGGGAAATTAGGGTTTCATATCTATTTATTTCCACCCCCTCAATTTTAGGGTTTCTTGAGCCCTATTTTCACTATGCTAATTCCAAGACTAGCTAGAGTCGGAGCTTCGATAGCCAAACACGTCTGCACAAGTACTTATTCCTTTCTACGAACCAAAAATCTATTTTTCTCCACTTCCCATCTTTATTTTATTTTTCACATTTCTTCTGCTATCTTAATGTTCTTAACATGTTGTGGATCTAATTGTATTGAACCTATAGTTCAAATAATCATTTTTCTTTGGTTCTCCTTGGCAGGGAATTATACATCCATTTGTGGAGCAGGATATTTTCGAAGTTCCAGAAGTCATCACCTGCAACCTCCTGTTAGTCTTCTTGTTATTATTGTCGTTTTAACTTTTGAACAATACCCATAATTTGGAATTCCCTTTTCTATCCTTGTGCTTTTTCTGCAAGTATAACTTAAGCATTCAAATTGCGTTGAAGTTTGACAATCTGGAACAGCTAGAAATTGTTCTGCATCACTGTATTAATTGATATTTACATGTCGTATTGATTTTTACAACCTTAGTAACCACTTAAATAATTTTACATGATGGATGGGTTACTGAGGAGCCGAGGCACTAGTCTGAGTGTCTGATTTTGAGCTTTGTTTGAATGAGAATCTTGATGTAATCTGTTTTCCTTTATTATGTGAATGTCTTTGTGAATTCTTGAAGTATGATGCAGTCCGCATGTTACGATAATAGCTCAAGTATAAAGATTGCAGATTTTGAACGTATTGGGGGAGTTGGATAATAAGATTAACCTTTTTCGTCAATGCAAGGGCTTTAAGGGGTGGAAGTGGAAAACTCTCCACCCTGTAGCAAAATGTCGGATGAGTTTATGGTTAGCAGAAGAAAGGAAAAAATGGATCTCAGTTTGTGCAATGTTTTCTCTCTTTCTGATTCTGACTATTTTGGAAATGTTGATCAATTTAACATTGTACTTTGATTTTGGATATGGGTTTATTGGTTTCATATGTTTGGTCTTAATATTATAAGGGATTTGATTTCCTTTGAATTCTTGCTATTAAGTACTAAATCAATCGCGAGAAAAACAGCATTTGGTAAACATAATAACCCGGAAATCTTGAAGTCTTTTATCAATGTAGTTATGGAATCTTATGATGCGAGAATAAATTTACTAGGGAGGAAGAGAGGAGAGATTACAAAACTGAGGGTTTTATATTATTTGACATTTTAAATATTTGTCTAATTAGCAATTGTGTGGGAAAATGTTTGCGGAATCCATAAATATTAAAAATTGTAGGGGCACATGCGATTTTGGATTACTGGAGAAATAGTTTTATTAAAATTTTACTTTATTATGGCATTGGTTTATGCTTATATCTGTTTTTCATGCGTAATTTTTATTTTGTTTCTTTGTTTTTTTAACCAGTTTCAACAGCATTCATTTACTAAGTTATACGAGGGAGCCATGATTGTAAAGCAGAATTTACTCTCAACTTTGACTACTAACAACACTTCTAAGGATGAGAGTGAACAAGAAGAAACGTAAGTTCTTTTTGTTTGAGATGACAGATTCTTTGGAAGTATGCTATTGTTCCAATAAATACGTCATAGCATTCAAAAACATGGTAATGGTTGTTTATTCTGTTATAATTTTGGATGCAGAAGCAATGTTCATTTTCTTGACCATTTCACCATCGTTTTGTTAAGACGACTGGCACTTAAAAGAAAAGCCATTGCATGGTATAAAACTCCTCTAAAAAACTTAGGAATTTTTTTAGTTTTAATATTATATTATGACACACAACATGGGTACACTTTGCAGACTAATTGTAAACTGCTAATTTCTTGTTTCTAGCTAAGGCATGATTTGGTCATTGAACAAGGGCTATCCAGTGTTATAAAGTGGGCCTTTTCTCGTACTGTCAAGTTTTTACATTGATAACATGGTTGAAGTTGAACCTAGGCCTTGGGGATTATATGCTTTGTTAAAACTCTGCATTCTCTATATTTTAATGTAGCATATTGGAGCTAGTATAAGGTAAAATCTGGGGCTGTACTTTCTCCAAATTGGAGCTAAACAATGCATTGTTACACTTTCAAATTGCATGGTGATCGTGTTGCTTGATGGGAGGATAGCATTATTATAGAATGAATCACTATGACTGGAGGTAAATGTTTGTAATATTGGTAAGAAATAGTTTGATTCAATTAGAGTGTGATGAACGGAAAAAATGGATTCTAAAAATATGAACTTGAAATTTACTTTCATATTTTTTCTTCTAGTTATTAAATTCTCAAAGGCATTGGAGTACTTCAAAATGCAGGGTTTGATAATGTCACATGAATATTGAAGTTTAGTACTCTGCTTTACAGTTACATGTATGTTGTGTGCATCCAACCATTCTAGATTTCATGCGGTCAACCATGGGGGCAAGATATCTGAGCAGGGGTTAGATTGATGCTAGAGTCTGATACTTTAACTAAAATGGCAACAATAATCATCTTTGGGCCTCGTTTACATTTCCTTGAAATATTGTCCATTCTAATGCCGAAGCAGTAACCAATTGGCTAAACAGAAAGAAGGACGAACACAAGAAGTGCGAGAAAATACTATTTATCTTTTTTGAATTTTATTTAACCAAAAACAATTAAATAATAATAGGGTTCTTCAAGCCTTAAATAGACAAACAAAATAAAATGGAAATAAAATAAAACATAATCAAAAGGAATCATGCGTAATCAAAGGAGATAACGCACACTCAAACATAATCTAAGAAATAACAAAAAAAAGTAAATAACTAACAATTATTGAAAACCCTAAATTATAAAATAAATTATGAAAAAGCCCAAAACTGTTGATGCTCATGGGAACACGACGAGTCTTGCTTAGAATCCCATTTGGAGTTGGCTATCCAGATTTGAGCCCAATCCAAGTCAATCAGCTTGGGTGCATCAAATTCCATGTTTCATATCAGATGGCAAGAATCCACCTACTTATACCCAACTGGCTTCTTAATCAACAGTGATCAGTGAGTTTTAACTTGCCTTAGGACGGATTACGCATTTACAGCTGTACCTCGCCCATGTATTTTATTAGATGACAGTAGTGCATCATGTGAGTGCAACTGATTGAATGACTAATTCAATGCTAGAATGGAGTAACATCCTTGGTTAAGTGCATCATGGCCCCATATCATCATAAAAGTTTAAAATAAAATTGCACTTTTGTCATTCTGCTCCTTAATTTTTGAGACAACTGTATGCAGGATATCTGTGACTTTTGTTGATAAGGATGGTGAGGAAAAACATATCAAAGTCCCTGTTGGTATGTCTATGTTAGAAGCTGCTCATGAAAACGACATTGAACTTGAAGGCAAGAGCTTTGATATTAACTTTCTACTCTTTCACCCCTAAATTCGTAGTCTTCTGATTACTGATGTTTGGTTTTTGATAGAGCACAGTGGTGTTAGTTGATCCATGTAGCCACCCCACCTAGTGGGATAATCTTTTTTGTTGTTGTTGGTTTTCCTAGAATCTTTGTTCATTCTGGTAGCCTGTTCTTGGCGTTGCCTTGCTCATGATTGATATGCTGACACTTCTCATCATTTTTTGTTGAAATTAGGTTTTTTTGTCATTACATCTCAATTTGCATACTCTCATGTTTCTTGCAGGGCCAATTGCTTATGTTGCTTAGCATATTTATCATTGATCTAGCTTACATTTGCTTATACCATAGTTAATTTCTTGCTTGATATTGTTGCAGGAGCATGTGAGGGCTCACTTGCGTGTTCAACTTGCCATGTTATAGTCATGGTACATCATGGGTGATATATGCAGTAAAGTGCTGCTTGAAATTTATTTTATTATTTTCCTGAAATACTGTTTTCCATTTACTAGTGGGTCAAATTACTGAACTTTGTGCAGGATGTAGAACATTATAATAAATTGGAAGATCCAACTGACGAGGAAAATGACATGTTGGATCTAGCTTTTGGACTTACCGAAACGTTAGTTTCTTATCCATGAACTTGGTAGTTGAAATTTTTTTCTTTCTGTTTTTGTCCCCTCAAATTCTTCGTCGACTAATTTTGGCAGTTATGCAGATCACGTCTGGGTTGCCAAGTGATTGCTACACCTGATCTTGATGGAATTCGTTTAGCTATTCCTGCTGCCACTAGGAACTTCGCTGTTGATGGTTTTGTGCCAAAACCACATTAGTCGTGGCTGGAAAAATTTTGGGTTCAATGCAAAGAATGCAGCTATGTCAGTTTTGTAGCTTCATACTGAGTTTAGATTAATGGGCATTTATTGATCTTGGGCATTATTTTTGTATTGAGTTTTTTTTTCTGGGCACCGATCTCCTCTGTATTACAAATCAGGGAGATCATGATGGAACTTTGCTGGCTGCATTTGCTCGCCAATAAATTACTTGTACTGTATTATTTTATTTAACCAGTTATTTCTGGCTAAACACCTATATCCCTAAATAAATAAAACAAGAAAAGGGAGGAGGACTGGAATATTTGGACTTTGGATGTGAATATTGATTCATGTCAAACAAACAGCTGATAGTTTTCTTCCAAGCTTGTCATGTTTCGACGATTTAGAATCATAATCAAAGCTAAGAAATAAGTTCCAGCAAGCCACGATAGCTTGGTTTGCATTTACTAGAGTTTGGCGTTCTATATGGGAGTTTGATTTTTGTCAATCTGATAATCAGTCTTTAATTTGATGTGATTTCTAACATTAAAGCCCAACTAAATTTAATCTTGAAATACAAATAAAAATTCTTATTCTTGTAATCTAAATATTTAAAATTCATTGTTTATTTGTTTGTATTCCGGAAAATGTTTTGATCTTTCGTTTTTCTTATTCTTTTTTTTTGCACACCATTCGTTTTTCTTATTCTAAGAGCTTTGAGATCTTTGGAAAAGAAGCCTTTAACCAACTGAAGAAAAGGACAAATGCAAGCGAACCATGCGGCAACATGTCTCCAGAACATGTTAGACTACCATCTATTCCATTGAACTTTTAAAAGTAGAAAGTATAAGAAAACAGGGAAGAAAATTCGAAGGGGAAATCACGAGAATAGTTCTACAGGAACATGTCTATACAGCAACTTTACATCTAATTGACCTACAAAGTACGATCCAGCTCTACAGGTCGAAGTTTTGTATATAGAAGAAGGGGGGACTTTGAAGCAATAAACCGAACTTTGATTACTTAGGATAGTGAACTAATTTTTCAAATCCGCAGGACACCAGGGAACTAAAAGCAAGGTAGCATACCCGCAACGCAGAAAATCAGAAACTGTCTATTTTAATGGGTTAAATCCATCATCCTTGACCAAGAATACTTGAGAACAGCATGATCAAAGACAATGTAAAGGCGAAGTGAGAGTAAAATGAGGTGGTTAAAAAAACATATCAGAGGAAAATCTAGTAACTGCAAAATAGCAACTGTACGTTATTTGGGAAATAATCAAGATTCAGGTCCAAAAGTGGACTTGTTGTAAACCATAAAACATCTTGAGCAATGAGCAGTGTTAGTAAACCATGTTCTGAAGATCAGCTGCTAAGTTCCATATAGAATTGAAAATATAGCTGAGATATGACATATATCAAAAACCTAAAAATAAAAGCATATTAGGTGCTATTGTGCCAAACGGCCAGTAATAACATGCCGAAATTAACAAGGTGTTTGTGTAAGTAATTGTGACCTTACAACTCATTTCAAAATCCGTATCAAGCATAATCAACTGAGCATCTAAGAATGGAGCAAAAATGATCTTTTTTTCAACTAAGATTTCTATGGACCTGGTCTCTAACCAAATCAGATTCATCACATACAAAGAAAAAAGTCAGCAATTATGTTTCAGTTGAGCTTCTTGAGAATTTTGGAAGCCCAACGCTTAACACGTCCCCTCAGTGTGTAACCAAAAATTACACCAGCAACAAAGCAAATTGCACAAAGCTTTGAGCACGTCCAGTAAGAAACCGCTTGTCTGCAAGAAAACATACAATTAATTATACCAAGTTAAGAACCCAAACCCTAATCTAAAACCCAACGCAAAAAGAATAGTGATTAAACAATCAAATCAGCAACTACAGAAGCATTAATATAAAATTCACAGTACAACTTCAGGATAACCCCATTTATGGCATGATCATTGTTAGTTAGTAGTTACTGTGTTCATAAATCAGATAAGTGTGGCATTTAGGGGAACAAAATAAACATTGATATGTGAAATTTCAACTAAAAAGTTAAAGTTAAGACATGCCTGGGAGGTCTGGTAGCCAAAACAAGGGAGGAATCATGAGGCGGTGCTGCTCGGCCATGCCCATTCAGATTGAAGCTCGACGACGACGTTTTGCCGTCGCCGGGTATCTTCACAAGAGCTTCCCGAGCACCCTCCATCGCTTCAATATAGCGAAACGACGCCTCGACACTGCCGCTTTAACAGCTTACAGTTCTTTCTACCAATGTTTTATTTATTGACGCGGTCGAGGTGTAGGTCTGGTTTAATGGGATATATTTTTCTTATGTTGTAGGAAAAGAATTACCTCATGTTGTAGAAATAAAGGTATAAGTGGGACCCACGTGTAAGAGGAGAGAGAAAAAACAAGTGGTGGGACCCAACTCCTTTTTGTGTGTGTAGGAGAGATGTTTATCTCATGTAAAATGAGATAAACATAACCCCTGGTTTAATTGGTATATTTAAATTTATAATTTATAATAAAAAATTATAAATATATTTAAAAACATGTAAAAAAAATATATACTAATTTTAAATATTTTAATATGAAAAATAATAAATTATACATTGTCTAATAAAAGATTAATCAAATCAAAATTTCCTGCAGCATATTGCATAATTAATATAATTATTAATATTGTAGGTACATAATCTATGTAAATTAATAAGCTACAAATAACTCAAATATTTCAAAAAAAAAAAAACCATTTGTGTGTGAGAGTGAAAAAAAAAGACATCAATTAATAAGAACAAATCAATTTTTTTTTGAACCGAGCCGATTCACCAATTGAACCGACCGAGTCATCAGTTTTTACAAAAATCGAGTGAGTTGCACTGGGTCAAACTTGTTCTATAACATGGCTGGTCCAATATGAAAATTGGACCAGTGATTGGTTCATCAATTTTCGAGTCGATCCAATTTTTATAACATTGTTTTCTACGAATTTCTTTTGAAAAAAAAAAAAAAATTAGCGAGAGACATATTAAATGCCCACATCTAGAACCTTCTAAAAGGCACCCTTATCAGCATAGGATCCTCTTTCTTCCCCCCTGCACTGCTGCCCCTATATATTGATAATGGGTTCAACATGCCTAGTCAAAGAGACTAGGCTGGCTAGGTGGTACATCTGTATTTCCTCTCTTCCACGCTTGAAAAAGATCTCTTCTTCCTAAATACTCTCTTTTCCTATGAAAGGTGCATCTTCAGATCTATTCTACTTCTGAGCTGTCACTATGCATCATAACGGAGTCATCCTAGTCATTCACACACTTTCCCTTTGATATACAACATCATGGAAAGCCTTTACAGGGCCTTGGTTTTTACCATTCACTTCCCCTTTGATATACAACACTATGGAAAGTCTTTACAGGACTTTTATCTTTACAATATACTCCCCCTTTGATATACAGCACAATGGAAAGTATTTCCAGTACCTTGGTCTTTTATTATTATCACTATGAGCACCCCTAATTGATATACTTGACCCTCCATGAAATACATATATGAACTACCTATAGTTCAAATTATAAATGTCAATTATATTAATTATGATTAAGCCATTAAGGTATGATTTTTACATTCTAAATTCAATAATCCAGAAATTTAGGGTTTATTCTTACTTATTTCATACTTTATAATGTTTATTTTTTTATAAAATTTTGTGAGACACAAAATTTTCATATTTTTAAATAAAAAAAAGTATGTTAACTTTTATTATAATCCAAGAATCTTGGCTTAAAATAAACGTGATTCTATGTGTTAAGGTTACATCCAAACATGCTCCTAATCCCATGATGTCCATCTAAACATAACAAAACAGTTTTCCAAAAAATAAAAATAACAAATAACAAAACACAATTAACTTTGTCCAGCGTGGAACAACCTGCGATGTGTTAAGGCTAAAACAGAGAGAGAGAGAGGTACGAAGTACGATGTTGGGGTCAGCAATCGTCCACGCTTGAAAGCCAATCTCCTCTAATGTCCAACCAATCAACCATTGAAGCTTTTCCTTCCTTATCTATTACCTTCTCAAAGGGAAGCACAACATCTTACCATTTTTTTTTTCTTTGTCACTCTCACTCACCTATGGCTTCCCTCACTGTAACTAACCACTCTCTTCCCACCTTGCTCCACTCTCAGAATCCCAACTACCAATCTTCTCAAAAACTTCAATTTCTCCCCACACCTTCAAATTCTCAATTTTGTGGCCTCAAGTTGTCTCATTCTTCCTTTTTCTCAATCCCATCTTCTTCTTCTTCTCCCAAAGTTTCCATTTTTGCCAAGGTACATTTACTCATAATCATGGTTTTGTGCCTCTTTCAGCGTTCATGATGGTAACTACTTACAACCCAGTGGCATCCCTGTTTGTTTGTATTTCTTCATTGACAGGTGGGTAAAGGTTCAAAGCCACCACCTTTCACGCTGAAAGATCAGGATGGAAAGAGTGTGAGCCTCACCAAATTCAAAGGAAAACCAGTGGTTGTCTATTTCTACCCTGCTGATGAGACCCCTGGCTGTACCAAACAGGTGAATACACTAAACTCTAATATTGGTTATTCATGCAAACAATGTAGCTTGGTCTGTACTTATTCAGAACTGGAGAGTGGAGATGCCAATTTGAACTGGTAATAAAAATGAGTGCTTAAGTTTTGTAATTCTAAACATTTTCAAAATTCATAATTCAATAGTGAAAGCTGGACTACTACCAAGATTTTGTCAATCCAAGTGTACAAAAGGATCTGTTGTTACAGGAAAACAGAGAAAAAAATTGAAAAGCAAGCAAATTAGTACTGTCTATTGACATGGTTCAAACTTCACATGCTAAGATTTATTTAATGCAGGAAGGCATTGTTGTTCTTATGAAAAAGGAAAGGGAGAAAGGGTTTTAGAACATGAAGGATTATGATAATTCCAACAGAGTAAAGGCATAGAATTAGTTTACAGTCTTAGTGCTGGTGGAATACAAACCATACAATAAATCATTCCTATTGTGCAACTGATACAGTCATTATGCCAAATTTATTTATTTATTTATTTTTTGTTGCAGGCTTGCGCTTTCAGGGATTCTTATGAGAAGTTCAAGAAAGCAGGAGCGGAGGTTGTTGGGATCAGTGGTGATGGTTCTTCGTCCCACAAGGTAAAAATCTAAATTTTCACTGCAATTTTTTTTTTTTTTTTTCCCTTGCAATTGACTATATTATTTCTATACTGAATGGATTGCATGGAATGTAGGCCTTTGCCAAGAAGTACAAACTTCCATTTACATTGTTGAGTGATGAGGGTAACAAGGTGAGAAAAGAGTGGGGAGTGCCAGGTGATTTCTTTGGAGCATTGCCTGGGAGAGAAACTTATGTTGTTGACAAAAATGGGGTGGTTCAGCTCGTATACAACAATCAGTTCCAACCAGAAAAGCATATTGATGAGACCTTGAAATTACTTCAGAGCCTTTGAGGCTTCTGATTCTTTTGTTTTTTTATCTCCCTTGGCCTGATTCAGAGTCAGACAATTATGTAACTATGAATTGTAACCAATGTAATTACGTAGCTGATTTTGTACCCTTTGATCACATGGAGGTGGTAATATCTCTTTTCTTATAGAGAGCAACTATTTATAACCTCTCCGGATGGAAATCATGCCTTCAATTGTCACAAATACAGTCGGATATCAGTATCTAACTATCTTATGCATATGGTAAGTTTAGCTTCAATTGATCAAGTGACCATCCATTATAATTTTTATGTAGTTTGAGTTTGCTATTTGAAATAATGAGGTTCAGCAATCTCTTATGATTTATTTGATCAACGCTACCATAACCTTGAAGTAGTTATGACTACATTTCTGAAACATGACTAAGTGTCTGAACAGCATTTTCATATATAACTTATTCCTAAAACTCTCACCCCCATATTTAAGGGGACCGCAAACTGACTACTAACATATGTCTTTCAAAGAGAGCATGCAGTTATTTTTTCTTATTATTCTACTATTATTTATGCAGCTACTAATAGAATTTATGAGCTATATATTCAATCTTGCTTCTCATAGTCTTCACTAGTATAGGGGCCAAATGCTTCTGATATCCAGCTCTTCTTCCTCCAGGAACTCCACCCCATATCTTTACATATTTCATCACCATGGTTAATGCTATAAGTTGAAATGCAGTGCCTCTTATAGAACCTACTGGACCTTTTCATTATTTCTATCTCCTTAAGGGTTTGTGAAAGCATGCTCTCAACACTTGGGAGCTTGAATTTGTCATCTACCAGTGCAGAAAGCCACATGGAGCGCAGCTCTGAGGAGTGAAGATTTGCATTACTCTGAACGTAACCCACAAAAGCCATGTTTGGAATCAAAGGATGGATAGTTCCCCTGTCATGATTAGCAATGACTCAACTATTAGTTCTCACATGTTATTGTATGAAAGCAATCGCAATGAATTGAAAATCCCTTCTTACCTGTATAAAGGCATAATACCAGAAGGGTACTCCAACAGGCTACAAAAAGGTTCTGGTAAAATGGTTTTGAGCTTTTTCTTTCCATCAAAACCAGTTGCAAGAACCACTACATCGGCCTCCAGCTTAGAGTTGTCTTCAAATTCAATTCCTTCATTCCAGAACCACCAATTTGATGCTTTTTTAAAGACAATTTTTCCTTTTTCAACCTCAGAGAAGAAATTTTCTGGCATGATGGCCATTTGACAAGATGCATAATCTTCCTCAAATGAGTGTTCTGGCTTTAACCCATACTTGTCCAAGGGAAGTTTCCAGAGCAGGTAGGAATCAATGAACTTTGAAATTCCACGCCTCTGTTATATGTCATTGCATAACAAGAAACTATTAGCTACATATACTTTTATGTGTTGTCATGTGATGAGTGTTTGTGAAAAAAGTGAGTTTTACCATTGGAGATAGCATGAGGCAGATAAGGGTTCTAAGCAAGCCCTGGTTTGGCCTTTCGTGGAGGAACTGAGAAGATCTTGTTGAGTAGAACAAGAAAAATGGCAATCCCCAAATCCAGTAATGGGGAACTATCCAATGCAAAGTCCTTATCACCATGGTGCACGGTCGTCCTTCAGGTCCTTCAGAACAAGTCACCAGCAACTTTGTTATGCATGTTGAAATTTAAGAAACAAAATAGAGTTGTAATTGTACAACCCCTGCAACATATGAATACTAAGATAATCTATCTAACTGTTGTTACATGTTCTTTCTCTTCTAATCTACATTTAGGACTTAGGCCCTGCAAGTTACTTAAAAGCACAAACCTGCGTTATGTCAAACCTCAATAAAGTTGATATGTCAGTATGGTGACATGACATGTATTAACATTTTTTTCTTAGGTTTTCTCATAAGTGACAAAATAGGCGGGACGTGATCAACCCATCAAAAAATGAATCAACTTGTCTCGTCTCATTTTTTAAAGTGAATTAAAAAAGTCAGCTTGTTCCGCTAAAAAATGAGTCAGCCTGTTAAGCTGAGTCCGTTTTGCCAATTATAGATTTTAGTGTTAAATTCAGTATCTAGAATAGTGGAAATAGAGAATATTTATATTTATTGATTAAAAGAAATAAAAAACAGAATTACCAAAAGAAAAAAAAAAGGCCAGGCATAATTGTTTAAGACGTACAAGAATCAAAATAATAGGGGAAAAGAAGTTCATCACGTTTTCTTGCATATTATTGATCAAAGTTAGTCTATGGCATGAGGTATTGAAATTTCAATGCGGTTTATGTATCTTGGCATAAGACTGCCTGCCACACGTGACTCTCGTTTCTATCGATGTAGATGAAAGTCCGAATCCGTCATTGGAATTTGAAACCTTTTTGGCCATTTAAGAAGTGTTACTGTGAAAGTCAAAACTGATGTGTGAAATTCTATTTTATGTGAATATTGACTTATAGACTCGTCCTACATCAGCTTTGGGTCAATTATTGTATTAAATAATAATAAAAAAAAAAAAAGCAGTCCACAAGTCAAAACATATTTTATAAATAGTGCGCAATCAAACCAAGCAAATAGCAACTTGGAAAATAAAGCACCTACTTCACGTTACTATTCAATAACAACCAATAGCATTAAATTAGAAACCAACTAAATTTCTTTTGGAAAATTAATGTCGTCACAGCTGGAGCCTTGTCATTAGTCCGAGAGAATGGATCCTCTTTTATTAAAATTTCATATGATTAGATTATATGAAAATTTTATGTTTATCTTTTTCTTTATTAATAATAATAGGACCTCACTTATATAATGTATCTGAAGAAAAAAATAACCACAAAAATTTCACATGTTCAGATCATGTGTATTAAATTTTAATATGAGAGGATTGATTTCCTTAACTCAAAATAAAATAAAATAAAATAAAAAAACAACAAGCATGATACGGTGTGTGTAGTAGAGTGTCTATTAGTGTGAGTTGCTGTGTTCGATTCTATAACCTTCAAAAAAAAAAAAAAAAAAATTGTCTTGATGTCCCACGACACAATAAGCGACAGATGGAAAATAAAAGGCAACAAGTTCAACTGTGGGTCTGTGGCTATTAAACGCAACTTTTGTCACATGCCAAAATTCGAAAAAGAAATTGAGAAGAAGTTCAAATAAAATAGTGTCACATTATTTGCTTTCAAATTTAATTCATCAACAATGTGATTTTATAATATATAATTTTTAAAGAAAGCCAAGAGAGCATTTACACCTTGTATAGGCCGCCACTAAATGTTGAAGAATACCCAAGTTATTTTAGAACCATTAATTAAAATATTTCTCCGAATTTAAAGAAATGCATTTAAAAAAGTAAAGATCACCATTTAGTGCGAGAAACTTTTTATGAAATTGATAATGAAAAGAAAGAATGTATAATAATATATAGGTGGTATATAAATAGTTTTGAAATCATCAGATTAATTATTTGGTATGAAATTTTTATACGAAAATTGTTACAATTTTTTTATAATTAATTACAATAATAAAAAATACAAAATCAAAAAAGTAAATAAATAATTGGTAGAAAATAATAATTTTTTCGTATCATTTAATAATTTTCTTTTGAAAGTAAATGTAACCCCCACCCCCCACCCCCCAAAGTAAAACACTAATATGTAACTGGTGGCAATACCAAATGTTTGTAATTTAATTGGTAGTAAAGGAGCTGAATAACTGGAAAGTAAAGGATCTCGATTCGATCCCCACATGTTATCTTTGAGAAGGGTTTAAATATTTTCATCCTGACCCACTTCGTATTCTGAATTAGTCCTATAGTCAGCTCAAAGAGTCGAAGCTGGTGGAAATACTGGGGGAGCCAACTCACCTCAAAGAGATAATTAGAGTTCGGTTAACTCCAGAAAAAAAAAATATAACTGGTGGCAATATATTATTATAAAGTAAAAAAACTTGGTCATAAAAAAAGATATTTTATAGTAATTAATGTTATTAATATTCAGGCTGAATATTGTGTAATCTCTCACATATTTATTTTGTTCAAATACAAGCAAGTAATCGAATCACGTGAGAGTGGATTGTTACCTTGGTTTGCCTGTGCACACTCCATGGCTAAATCAATACCTGACTTTTTGAAACCGACCACCACTACCTTTTTCCCTTTGAGAAGTTCAGTGGCAGCTTCCTGGTCAAGTTTACAGTAATCAAGCGAATGCAGGACCTTGCCCTTGAATATCTCTGGTCCTTTTTTGCGTGGAAACGCTGGAATGTTGGGTATGTCCCCAAATTTCCCAACGCAAACCACAACAAACTCGAAGCTGTACCACTGAAATGGAATTCGGAAATAATGTCAAGTGCACAATTAATACACTAAAAAATGAACACAAGTTTTTTTATACTCATTATTTGGAACCTTTATTCTTCATGACTTATAAACTTTATTAATAATTTATTTCAGAACAAAAATGTATGCTCCACAAGTATAATTTAATCGGTAATCAAGAAATATGTATTATTCATGTAAAATACTTTTAGGTGTCTATTACTTATTATAAATTAACAGTTAATATATGTAAAAATTAGTACATTTTTTAATTCTTTACCAAATATATTTTCCGTGTGTCAAATGTTAATTAAAGCATTTAATAAGAAGTGTTTAATTACTACACTCTAAGTATTTATTGTAAAAATCAATAACTAGGAGATAATTGATAACTAATTGAGGGTATATTTAAAAAAAAAAAAAAAACCATGGGTGGTATAGCAATTTCTCATAATAAATATTTCTCAACTTATCAATTATATATACTAGTGCCTAAAGAAAAAGTCAATGACACCTTAGCAACTCCATACAATCAATCACTAGAATTTTCAAATTGTTAAAAAGATTAAACGAAGGAACTTTAAACTAAAAAGAAAAAGGCTAACAGAACTTCAGAAATTTTCACTTCTAATTAACAAAATCACTTTTCCTTTGGGAACTTCACAATAACTTTGTGTTATTTTATATCCTGAATGTTGATTTTCGTTAATTAATGGTTATAATTTATTGTAAATTATTAATTAATTAATAAGTTTGACCCAATAAATCATAATCGTTAATTGATGAAAATCAACGGTTAGGATCTAAAATGACATAAAATTATATCCTTTAAAAGGATAAATCATTTCCAATTTTAAAGGATATAATTAAAAATGGAAAAAACATTTATCCTTTTAAAGGAGGTAACTTTTATCCTTTTAGCAATTTATAACTATGTACTAAAGTAGTACATGATTATAATATTAAAGTTGTACTTTTTTCTCTTTCTTCAGACATTATTTGCTGACGTGGAAAGTGAAAAAAGTATAACTTTAATATTATAAATATGTATTACCCTTAGTACATAGTTATAAATTGCTAAAAGAACATAAGTTACATTCTTTAAAGGGAAAAAAGAATCTAATGTTACTTTAGACAATTTTGTCTAATGTTCACCGAAACAACGTTGTTTTGAGATTAAAAAATTAGAATGATAAAGACTGTTATAATCCTGAAATAAATTAAAATTAGAAATACACAATAATTTTCACCATAAAGCGATATTGTTTCGGTGAACATTAGATAAAATTGTCTGAAGTAATATTAGAAAAAACGAACCGTTCTTAAAGGACAAACTTTTAAGCCTTTTTAAAATTCACATACTCAAGCAATTTGTGAAACCCTAGGTAAAGATACCAAAGAGTTAATGAAACTAGTTTTGTTGGAAGTGAATTAATGAAGTTTCACCTGAATGGTGTCTGATTGATTTGTCTGCACAGCAACTTCCCAAACAGGTTGACCAGAAAGTAGGCTTCCATAGTCACGATCATGAGTTAGCCCTCCAAAGTTGGAGCCTTCCCGGTTCCCGGTGAACCGGATTTCCACCACCTTAGAGTTGAACCGGATGTTCTTGAGCACATCAAAGTGTTCAGCATAGGAGTGCAAGTAATCTAATATGTCCATGTGAGTGGGAAAATCAGAGTTGTCTCTATCGAACCAAGGGAAATCAGAGAATTCATAATCTCTACGGTGAGATTGAAGCTTTGTAGAATTGAAAGTACAATGCCTCCAAACCCCACCAATGGAGTCAGAGGCCTCAAAAACAATAGGGTTATGGTGTGATAGCTGTTTTGCAGCTGCTATGCCGCTTACTCCAGCTCCTATTATGGCGATTTTCGAAACCAACATGGAATGGTTTTCACGGATAGCCATAATTGAGGTTTGAAAAGAAAAGCAAATCAAGCAGGTTAAAGGTGTTTGTGAATATTGTGTGTAATAATGTGTATATTTGAGTGTGGGTGCAATGAAAATGTGAGACTGTGAGATGGCTTTATATAGATCGCTCAAGCTGCATGCAGTCGTCGCCATGAGGTCACGTGGGGTAGACTTTTACATCGAATGAACGAAAGAAAATATATTCAAAGGGTTTGATTGGAATAAATCTTTTATGTTACTGTTGCACCAAAGATTTAGTGTATTTCATCAATGGAAACATTACATGTCAGTCAAAATTCTCTTTTCTTTGCCAAATTCTCTCTCTCCTCTCACATACAATATTTTCATTGGTGGGATGCACTGAATCTAGATACAATAGATGCATCAAAGACTTGCATATTCCTATTGATCAGCTATTCACTATTATAGTATTTTTCTGAAGGAAATTCACTGGTCATTGTTGGAGAACTTTCGTGCTATATAAGGGTTAATCTTTTGTTTCATGGCACTTGTTTAATTTAAATTCTTGAAAACCTAGTCAATTCGTTTGTTCTAAAGCAATATATTTTGAGAAATTCTTTTCTCTTTATAAATCACGTACACACAATGCAAAAGAGATAGGGAAGAAAAAATGGAGATACATATTTACTATCATTCACCCAACTTAGGTTATGCTCATCAATATTTTACTATATTCTCGTTACAGTACTCATTACAAATTACAAAAGGAATGTAAAAAAAAATTGAAACCCTAAACAACAATAGTTATTTATAGGTCCAAGCACAAATTATTAAAAAAAGAAAAAATAATAATTTCAAGGATCACACAATAGTATTAGATATCCCCCGGATCCCACCCGCTCAACAGGTAGTGGGACATCCATTAACTTTTTCTACGTTCAACCAAAACAAGAGTCGGTCATTTGAACGTGGAATATGAGTCATACCCAATATATACCTTTCTTGCTTAAAAACTACCAATCATTAGATCAAGATATCATTGTAATATATATATATATATATATATATATATATATATATTTTGGTAGACAAAAATATATTAATACATAATCGAATGGTTTTAAAAGAAAAAAAAAATCTCATATCCAACAACTCAAAGTGCCATGATATATTTAGGATTCATATGGGGAAGGATTTTTCTTGTATTGTTTTTTTATTTTCTCAAATAAAAGATTAAATATAACGCCAAGCGTGACGGAATACTAGATGTTTGATAAGTTCTCCCGCCAGGACAGAAGTGGCTATTTGTTTAACTATTGAGACTCGGCGATTGCAAAACCAAAACATTTGTTGGACAAAAATTTGCACATAAACAATAGAGTTTCTCATCGACGCAATAGAAAATGTTGGGAAAATTAAGGGTGTTGCGGCATAAGTTATTGATTCAAAAGCTAATGCATTAATTATATTATATGAGGTGTACACGTACATATGAGAACAGAGTCTGAACATTGAGACTATGACTCCATCGCATTCATGACTAAATAAATTAAAAAATAGTTCTTGACGATTAATGTCTCCAAACGCGAATAAAGTTGGTAGAAGTAGAACCAACCAACGTGGTCACAGAAACACTTCGCATTAAATTACATTTTGCACTTTAATCAATTTCATTGTAACAATATAAACTATTAGTATATTTAAACTCTTTATGAATAAAAAAAATTTCCTGCTAATATATTCTTACAAATTTTTCGCAATGTATTGCAGAGTACAGATTATTTTCTCCCGATAGTTTATCTTATCTAGTTAAAAATATAATTTTGACCAATACATCTTGATAAAACTCATTTTAAATAGATGACAAGAAGCAACATTTTTAAATAGACGAAAAAAATGGTTGTTATGATCTCTCAAAAGCAATTGTTAATCGATTAATTAAATAAAAATAAACATTAAACTATAGCAATATTGGGTATGAAGGGAAGTGGTTTTCTGTTGACCATGCAAAACTTTCAACTTGAGTTCAAGTTTTGGGACTTCTAGAGCTACCAAACAATTCAGTTAGCCAATGAAGTCAACCCATAAGTTCAAATCTCTTCGTATGCGTGTTAACATTCAACTACAATTCTGAGAAACTATACATCTTTATAACTAGTCACACAATTTTACACGAAATTAATTCTCATATCTTCCCTTATAAATAAGCAATGTAATTAAAATCATAATAAAGAAAAGGTAATTAAACTTTTATTTATTTGAGATTTGATATAAAGTTTATAATAAAAAAATTATAATTTTTTTTTTAAGAAATATCAAAATAAACTGCGGGAAAAAAATGATGATGGTGATGATGTTTCCTGGCAAATCTAGACTTTGTTTCAACAGAGAGAAAGGCTAATGGTAAGTCCGATAACATGCATGCATCTCTCACATTCAAGCATGGCTCAGTGGTGGCTATTTGGCATTATTTTTGGAAAACTCATGGTGGCTGGGAGGGAAACATCAAGGAACCTAAGAAGGAAGTTGGCAAGAAACCAGGCACGTGGAAATTTAGTTATCATTCACTTTTTGCATCATGCATGGAAATTTGAAAAGTGAAGAATATTACACGGCTCTTGATATAACACATATGATTATGATTTCTGCATGCAACCAACCGACATGAGTCCATTATAAATATATCTTTTCTAAGCATAATTTATAAATCATATTTATTTATTTTCCAAAATGTAAATGTTAATCGAGTTTCCCCCCTTCACTCTGTCAAATGTTAAGGCTAAGTAAGAAAATTTAAAAATAAACCCAAATGTGGACTTCAAAATGTCTAATTTATTAGCAATTGGAACATCTTTTTATGTTGACAATCTCATGATTCAACGGCGGCTCAAAGTCTAAATAGTATCGGTTACAAAACCCCGGAAGACTTATAACTATGGCAAGCAAGCATTAAAAAGGCTAGTATGAAACGTGGACGATTAACATATTTTATGGCTTTTTGATAAGAATCAAACAATTTACAAGTAAGTAAACACGCACCGCGTTGATGTTAGTTTGTATTAGTAGTTTATATTATTATAGTAAGGTGACAATTCATAATATAGAATCCGGTCTTGGATGTTAATTTTTTTCAGTGCTTTGTACCTGCTTTTCGTTTCTAATCGCTAGTCAATTTAAACAAGACTATTCACGTGGTTCACTTCGATAATCTGGTAAGAAAAATGGTATTATCTTATAAATTTTGGGAAAAATGTTCCTGCAGTTAATGCAGATAAGTTATCTGCGTTTATTCCCAAAACGACATCGTTTTGGTATTAAAATCTTAAAATATTATAAATATAAAGACTATTATAACCCTGAAATAAATTAAAATGACAAAATACCATGATTTTCGTTCCAAAACGATGTCGTATTGAGCTTACTGCAGATAACTTATCTACAGTAACTGCAGAAAAAGCGAACCTATAAATTTTATACAAAAAATTATTGTCATATAAAAAAAGTTATAGGATTCATTAAAAAGTTACAGACTTAAAAAAAAAGTTACAAATCTAATTTGTAGTTTCTAAATAAATTTTATAATTTTTCATGTAGCTTTTTAAATTTTAAAATAAAGTCTATAACTTAATACTAGATTTTTCAAAAGGAGTACGAAATATAATCCATTGCAATTTTTTTGTAACTTGCCTTTCCGGCTTTCATCGTTCTAATTATATGTGCTAACTAAGCATTAAAAATTGGTTTTCAATTAAGCTGCTGAGTATAAAAGGATACAAGCTTTGCCGCTAAAAATTTCCTCTATACAGGAAAAAGTATAGATTTAATTATTTTGATTTTTATCTAGACTTTATTATATTCGAATATAACTTTGTTTTTACTTGATTTAAGCAAATCAAATATAAAGTTTAATATTAATTTATGTTGAATGTGTTTTTTACCTTGTTTTATTATCACAATAATTATTAAAAGTTTATTTTATTTTCTTTTTATGCTTAGAAATTTATAAAGATAAAAAGTTTAATCATTCCAACGTCACACGTGCAAGAAATAACTAACTAATAAAATTTGGCCAATAGTAATTAAATTTAAGAACTTTAAGTCATACCATTCGTTTACCCAAAAAAAAGTCATACCATTCAATTTAATCAATAGAACTAATCTTAATTGCCAAGTTTTTATTTTAACTATTATAATAATAAATTTTAATAATTTAATTATGTTAATTATAAAAATATTTAGAGTCAGAATAAATCATAATTAATTCAACCCAAGAATTATTAATCTAGTAGTATCCTAGTTAGACCAACTTATATAAACCAAGAATTGAATTAATCGGATCCATTAATACTTTCTGTTGGTATCTTAAAAAAATCATAATTACCTCGTACAAGAACCAGCTGTATATAAATACAAAATAATGGAAAACAATAGATGAGATGAGATGAGACAGTCACTTATTGTAACAACCAATATATGATATATAGATTGTTTGTATCTTTTTGTTAGGTTTGTTAGCTGTAGCTCAAGTTGTTAGCGGTAGTTTTAATTTGCTTTTAGATGCAGTTTAGATTTTCTAGGAAAGGGCAAAACAAGGACAACCACTTAAAAACCCGCGGCATCAGTAGTCCAGCACCAGCACAATAATATCAAAGAAGTGAATTTTTATTATTAGACCGAGTATTCTCTTATGTATTATGTCCTTCTCAGTGGGAAGCAAGTCACTCACCAATGCTTTCAAATTCCTAAAAGCATCAGGAATTTCATCATTGGGAACAACTTTAATATACAACTGTTGATCAGACAATAAATATTAATAAACTATATAAATAAAAAAACCAAAAAACTACTGTTCGGACTATAATAAATCATTGCAATCTGTACCAAAAAATGAGAAGAAATCATCATCCGTAGGAGATTGATCCTTGTCACTCACTGTTTCATTCTCTAACCAAACAAAATCAGCTAAATCATCCAGACTTGTAATTTCTTTGGGGTTCGAATGTTTCCCTTGCTCATCCAATTCTTTCTCACAGGGATGAGATGAATTCTTCTTATTACCTGAGCCTTCCAAAATCTTTGGAGGGTAGAGTATCGATTCCAAATAACCATTGCTGCGTGGAGAAACTGGTTCTAACTGAGTCTGTTCATGAATTGGAGGATAGTGCTTATCAATCAATCTATCACCAGACCCATGATAGAATGGAGGCATGCTACATGAGCAACCTTCTTGTTGAAATTCTATGCCTGGGAGTGGAGGTAGCTCTGATACCAATTCCCCATATATGGTGGGAGTTATTGAATCTGGATCCTGAATCAGTCTACTGAGAGACCCATCAATTACTGATGGAAGAATAGGAGATGCAGGCCTGCATGGAAGTGGAGGTAGGTCTGATACCATGGCCTCAGCTATGTAGGAAGTGCCATTTAAACCTGCATATTGCTCACTATTGGTGTTATTGTTAACAATGAGAACATACAAAAAAAAAATGTTTAAGAAAGTTTTCCATGAGTATATATGTGTGTGTATATATATATATATATATATATAATCTACTTACTAATCAACTAATACTGGGGCAACAGTATTAGTGCTGTCCAAATGTGATGATGAGCTTGGACCTTGTTCAAATGTGTTGCTTTCATATATATAATTGATTGGTGATACATATGGTGGAAGTTCTTGACTGAGGTTGTTGTTTAGTATAACAAATTTATCTGCTTGTTGGTGGCTGCTGGAACCCTTTAGACTTTGTTGAGTGGCATTAAGCACACGTGGGCGTATGTTAGGAGGGTACATTGGTGCGCCAGCTCGTTCAAGTTTCTTTTTTCTTGTGTTCCAATAGTTCTTTATCTCATTGTCAGTACGTCCAGGCAACTGATACAAATTAAGGAATTAACACAAAAAGTAAATACACACAAAGAAAGAAAGAAAGAAAAATCACACTCTCGCACACATAATTCAGTGACATAATTAATGGACGGTGAAAAATGCATTCTCTCATATCACATCACCACATTACCGGTTATCCTTTCCATATTTTTTATACTTGGCTCATCTCTTGTTACCTAAAATTGTCTCACATATGGGACATGATCAGAAAATTCATTTTCCATAATAGGAATGTGTAAGAAAACTATTTATTTATTCATTCTCAGTAGACATGAGAAAATTTCTTTAACTACTGGTATTTTTATTTATTTTTATTTCAATTCTTTCCCTAAAAAACAATTCAAGATATATTCAGAATCACTTTGAAACAATTATGATTAGATTCGGAATTAAAAGTGATTTGTAAAAAAAAAAAAAAAACAATTCAACTCACAAAAGTAAACCACTAAAATTGGTTTGGTTTCCTGAATTAAATTATTAAAATCAGTTTGATTGTTGAAAAAAAAAATCTTCCCCACCCCTCAACAATAATATAAGGTCTTTTTTCTTCTCGATCCTCCTAGTATCACTTTTGAGAGAGATTTAAAATCTTAATTCTGAACTTGTCCCGAATCAATCAGATTAGTCGCGAATTATGAATTTTACATTACATTCACCAGTTCACTTCACATACTATTTCTTTCTTTCTTTCTTTTTTAGTAAAATTTAGGTCACAATTCCAACAGAAAAACAACAATGGCACTAATGCAAACCTCCGAAGCCATTTTAGCCCATTTGGGCCCCATATCAGCATGGAGTTCAATGATCTTAAGCTCTTCCTCTTTACTCATGGGACCCTTCTTCAAATCTGGTCTCAAGTGATTTGTCCATCGAAAACGGCAGCTTTTTCCACAACGGGCAAGTCCTGATTTCTTTTGAACTGCATTCCAATTTCCCTCTCCATGGTTTTTCACATATTCCTTCAAAATTTTATCCTCTTCTGCTGTCCATGGCCCTTTCTTTAAAATATCTTTTTCTTCTAACTCATCCCCACCATTACCTTTTTCATTTGATAATAATGTCATCACAAACACTGTGCCCATAAGAAACACTGCGCCTACAAAAAGTACAGAGATTTGAAGTTAGTGAACAATGTGAGAATTAACAATTTCATAATTGATCAATGGCAATATATAGTATTAAACTTTTACAAAAAAAAAAAAGTAGTATGATTTTATCCATTAGAAAAACACCGAGCACTAACCTTTGACATGCAATAGATCGCTACGAGGGCTAAAAACTGAAAACATGAGTAGTCTTTGTTGGTTGAGGGTAGAGAACAGTGTAGAACTTATTTAGCATATAATAACAAGATGAAGTGTTACCCCTTGAATTCATTGCTTAAAAAGTGGAAAATATTTTGTCAGTTTGTTTCTTAGATAGATACCGCCCTTAGATAGATACCGTTTCAATCGCTTAATTGATATATCCGCGAAAAAATTCAAAATTAAAAAAAAAATATCTTTAAACAATCATTATCCTAGCTATCGTTTATTTCTTATTTATCTTTACAGTTTGTTGTTTGGAATTTTATGATGTGGCTTAATCTATTAGTGTTTCAGCTAAGAGAATAATAAAGTCGGATAAGATTCTTCTCTTAAATTAAATTATCGAAAACTAACTAATTATTATTTTAAAAAAAAAATTTCTGCAATTACTGCAGATAAGTTATCGATGTCTAATATATCATCATTCATTCATTTAGGTTAGGCTTAAAAAAAAACATACACACGAGTGATTAACTGATTAGTTTGTAATTATAAAACTGAGCATCCAGTTTTTGCCTCCCTCCGATCCCTCTCAGCAACAATCGATGTCCCACTGTCATTTTCTGTGGCCAAATCCATGGAATAATATAGAAGCCTCCCACTGTCACTGTTTTCGAAAGATAAATACAATGGAAGACTCCCCTTGATGGAGACTAAGGAAGTTTGATGGAAATTAAACCCCCCCGCGACGTATACCCACTTTCCCATGTCCTTTTCCTTTTCCTTTGGTACAATTATTTTTTTAGTAATGTTAAAGAAAATTAGACAATTTATATTTTTAAAGAAAGTTAAATTATATATATATATATATATATATATATATATATATATATATATATATATATAGGGCTATATGCACAACATGTTACATAACAAAAGTAATATTTCCTGTACACACAATAAGTTAGTGGGGTTTACTAATTTTTTTTGAGATTTATATTTCTTATGCAACATAAGAAGAGCTTTCTTATGCTACACTCACATCGTTTTGTGTGTCAATATTTTTAATTTTTTTATTTACCATTTTTCAATGGGGCCCACCTGAGTTTGTGTGTGTTGCAAAAGTTCTCATCTTATGTCACATAAGAAGTGTAAACCCCTTTATTTTTTTCACTCCTTAATTCATTTTCTCTCTCCTTATTACTACAAACCATGCACTTTTTCCTACAACATTATTGTTGTTTTTCCCATATATATATATGTGTGTATGTGTGTGTGAGAGAAATGATTGACTTATAGTAATATAATAATAAGAAGTTTTATACTCAGTTTTAATTATTGCTTCGCTTTTATCTAATCTAATATAAATTTTAATGCGAGATTTGCAGCATATGCTCAAACTGAGAAATTCGGAAATATTTAATATGCTTCAGGATTACTTAATAATTTGGTGTTCTCTCTCGTAACATTAATTTTTTCTTTTTTTTTTATCCTTGTTATTTTTTTTCTTTTCTAATTTTACCTTTATATTTACACTAAGAGACCACCTAAAAAATGATGGTCCTGGACCACAATAAATTTTCTCCTGAAATTCGTGCCGTGAAGGCACATAAAATGTGTTTTTTGATTTAACATATCAGTGTCAATGCTCCACACAAAGTCTGAATTCTAATTTATCAGGTCATAACTCAGCATTGCTATGCAATTCCACCTCATTTCAATTCTAGCTGCGAATGTATACTCATTGACCTCTTTTATTATGTACTCATTGACCTCTAATATACACTATTATTGCATGTTAATTTATCACCATGCACGTTCTATATCTGTACTCAATGTCGATGCTGCATTATGAGGGGACTGGGGCTACAGGTGAATAGTTTTCTTTTCTTGGTCATATTCACATTATGGTTGTGCTTAGTTCAAAAAGTAAGGCCTTTTCAATCTGTTTCGATTCTCTTTGACTTCTATGTTAATTTAGTTGTTATTTAGTGTGTATAAAAAACTAAATAATTTTTAATAATTTTCATAAAATTATTAAAAAAAATAAATTAAGCTAATTATGGTACAAATTATGGTTTGTATTCTTGTACAAGGGATCCAACATTATTTGGATATTGCACTAGAATTAATCTACGTATAAGAATTTTAATACAAAATTTTTATTAGTTTTGTTAACAGTGTGTAATTATTAATACATATGAATTTTTTTAATATTTTATAATAAATTAATTTAATTATTCAAAAAAATTAAATACTTTTATTTTAAAATTAATAAATAATATTTTATTTTTTTAATGTTTTGTAACATGTATCTTAAATATGGGGTTTTAGTTTGTCTTTTAACATGACCAGAAAAACTTTCTTACACACGCAACATTTTGTGGGGCCCACACTTTTTAAAGCAAAAAAAAAAAAATTTATGGCACGCAAAACGAATCTCTATAACATTACACCATTACTCTTTCTACAACATAACTCTTATAAAATTCCTTAAATATACACGTTAATAAAATTAAGATATTATATGAAAAATACAAAACGCTGCTAAAAAATTATTTACTTTTATCTCCACATAAGCGAAAGCTTTAATATTCAAGGAATAAATTAAAAACGATAGATTTTGAAAACTAGATAAATTTTAAATCATCATGTGGAAAAATGAATAAGTTTACTTAAATTGAAATAACTTCATAATAAAGCACCATACGAAAACGTGATAAACCCGTATTTGCATTTTAAAATTAAATTAAACAACTAAATTATGGGTAAAAAATATGGGTGTTCATCAACTTATTCAAACCGCGGTGACCAAACCGATAACCGAATAAACCGAAAATCGAAAAACCGAAAACAGAAAAAAAAAAACCGCAAATTTTAATTGGATTGGATTGATTTTCGGATGAGTTGATGAAAACCGATCTAATCCAAACCAATACAATATATTAATTTTCCTCTACCTACTTGAGCTTTTCTTTAATCATAGCCCAAAATTTCTCAACCCAAGACCTGTTAGCCCATCAACTACGCCCAAGAAAAAATCTAATCACATCTCATCAACAAAATTTCATCTGTAGAGCTTTATATCTCATTGTCCAAAATAAAAATTTACAAAGCCAATGTATATAAAAGATGTTATTTGCACAATGATCGTGAAACAAATTTTAGGATTTTAAAAAAACCGAAAACCGATCCAATCCAAACCGAAAAATATTGGATTGGATTGCATCGGATTTGAAAAAAAATTCAAACCAAATAGATGATTAAATGATCAAATCGAAGGTGTTGGATTAGATGATTTTTGCTTTTAAAACCGATCCAATCCAAACCGCGAACACTTATAGTAAAAAACAACTAGAATTGCAAATGCGAGAAACACACCCAATCATATCATTTGTTTTATTAGCTTTTCAAAATATTTCTAGCTACTCTCTTTGAAAACAAGGATAATCTTTTCAACTGCTTAACAAAACAATAAATTCTCTTTTTAAGTGGCGTTTCCAGAATTCAAACTTTCATTCTCCCCTAAAAACATAATTTGATTACCGTTATTTCACAATCACACACCACATATATATCTTTGCCTTTAGGCTTATACTTGGGGTCAGAGATATAAACGAGCTAGGCCAGCCTACATGAGCCTACGGCCTAGTCTATATTAGATCAGGTTTGGTCTATTACAAATAGTAAAATAGAATAGGCCTAGGCTTTTAAAAAAATCTATTTAAAAAATAGGTCATAGGCTTTTTTGTATATATCGAACTCATAAGTCTATAGGTCGACCTATATGATATTATTTATTTTAAATAAAATAAATAAATTTATTATATTAATAATTTTGAATAATAAAGTAATATTATTTTAATTTTCTTTTAATTGTTGAATGTTTAATAGGCTTAAATAGGTTAACAGACCTAGGCCAAATTTTTTTTTTAAAAATATAAATCAGGTCATACTAGTAATTTGAGGCCTACATAGATTAACAGATCAGACAAAACCCAATATTTTTATATAGACCTAGCCTATTTATGTCAAAACCTAGCCTAAGCCTATTTTACACCTGTAATTGAGGTGAATAGCACATCTCATTTCATTTGTGTGCGTTTACACACATAAATATGCGCACGTCCACTAGTCAATAATAATTTCACCCTATTTTTATGCATATCAAATGCAGTTTAAAATTTTAAGGCTTCAGAATATATATAAGTAGCGTTCTCATGAGCACCTCGGGTCCCTCAATCTATATATATAATCTTTACTTACAATTTAAATTAAAAAGAAAATAACGAAGAGTATATTGTTACTGTAAAGTTTAAATTACAAATTTTTTTATTAAGGAGTTAAAATTTGAGGAATTTGACAGCATCTGTAAAATGAGGAATTTTTCCAATTTTTTTATGCTTGAGTGAACAGTAATGGAAATTTAAGGGGGGAAATACTGTAACCAAGGAAAATCCCTTTGGTATAGGTATAAATAAATGGGGATTAATTTTGTCATTCTATATGAGAAAAAAATTTCATATTACACACACAATACATGAGTGAGGTCCATAAAAAAGTGAGAAGACAAAAAATTTAAAATGGAACACACTCATATATTGTATCCGTAGCATGAGAAAATTATTTCCCTAAATAAAGTGCCTTCATATTTCTGCTTTATGGAGTTAATTGTAAACTTAATCTTTTTTGGTTCTAATAAAATTTGAATTCGGCCCTCTAGTTTAAAATTTTCATATCTTTTAATTTGGTCATGTCTCGTCAAACGGACTGAACTGTCCAATTTCAATTTTCACTACTTCTTAAACACGGGTGCTTGAGCTTGAGCTCAAATGTGCATCAAGGTTTTTCTTCTTTGTCTTTTGTATTTGTAAATCGTCATATATGTTAATTTTGTTGTGGATGTCATCCCTTTGTTTCTTTAAAGATACAGCAGCAGGGCCCATTCTCTTATCTATCAAAGACATGAATTCTGAGCCTACGGCCCAGCCCATTCACAAAACGATGGGTTAAGCTCCCACCATGACGGGTTTCCAGAAAAAACTTGACTTGTCATTAAATGTAGTAGCAAAATTCTTAGCTGATTTTGTATTTTTAGAAAGGGAAAATTATTTGTGTTTTAAAAATCATTTTAGTTTTTTTACTCTATGTACTCTTGGTAGTATATAGTTATTACATGAAAATATGCTCTCTCTTTTCTCTCCTCAATCACATCAACTTACTTGGAAAGTGAAAAAAAAAATTAACTTTTCATGTTATAACTATGTACTACCGGGAGTACATAGAGTAAAAAAACTAAAATGACACAACTAACATCACACACTCTAACCCTTTTAAAAATGTCATGAAAATAAATAGAATGAGTGGACACTTCATAAAAGTATTTGTCCTTTTATATAATTTGGGCATCAAACTAAGTTTTGGTTTAGTAAAAATTCGACAATGTTATAAGCACACGGTTACAAATTGAAATTCTACACAAACTAATTTCTCAATGTTAAGCCCTAATAAATATCTTTGTAAAGTTTTTAATTCAAACATACGCAAAATCACCTAGATACCAGGCAATTCTATTTTATTTTTTGGACAAAGGAAAACAAAAAAGAACACAATCAACTATGTCTGGTCCGGCTAGCCTGGCGTTCTCGTTCTTGTAATTAAAAGTTACACATAACACAGACGGTGGAGAGCTTATGATTGATGGAAAACCAATGTGAAACCAAGAACCCAAAAGGCTAAGCATTTATTATAATATACATGGTCATATGTGTTAAATGCTAAGTTTACGAATACACAATTTTCCATCTCAGTTTCTTTACACATAAGTATATGACCATGTGTTTAATGTAAAGTTAAAGAATGCAGAATTGACTGTCCATACGTATCTCAGTTTCTTTACGCATTAGTGTGGCTATACGACCTGCAAGTGTGAAATGTTCGAGCTTTTCCTTTCTTCATTTTTTCAATCAATGGGAATAGCAGGGATGTGAAACTCTTGAAGGCTAGACTTTTATTTAGTAATTTTGGTCTGATAAATTCATATAATTGACTAGTCAAATTCAACAAACTCAAACCCTACGATAATTATTTTATGCCTAACACTCAAACATTTTATCCTACTTTAATCACGCAAACTATTATGTTATTAAATATAGTCCATTTGTTGGCTTACCCACACATACAATGAACTAATTTCCTAACAAACACTACACACATACAAAAGTATATATTTATAAGAGACATTTTTTGTTACATTAGAAGGTTAATTAATGTTTGATGTCACTTTAAATAAGTCTGTTGAATAATTATAAGAGATAGAATTATGATCTATTCTTGAAAAAACATATATTATTAGGAGAAATATATATATATATATATATATATATATATATATATATATATTATATAAATTACATGTATCTGTAAAGAACCTTATGATACACCACCCCAAAAGCTAGTTCAAATGGTGAGAATGTCCAAGGCCTTATAAAGGTCAGACCTTCACCGGAAGCAATTTTATTTGAACCGGAAACATTCACATCATAGTGGAGTTAACTCTTTAAAGGAAATTTTTTGCATTCACAAGAACTTGAACTCAAAATCTTGTTGCTTAAGCGAATCAAGTATGTACCGCTTGAACCAAACCCTTTTAGTTATTAGGTCATTTATATAACATTAGTTAAAAGACAAAAATTACAATGTGCACATAATCAACGGCTAAAGTTTTTATGACAATAGAATTTGCCATCAATTATATAACAAGATACACCAACCAACGATTTCCCTACCTAATTCTCGAGCCATTAAATTAATTGATATGCGTATTCCATCTAATGATGGAAAGGAAAATGATAGTCTCGCGTAGGTGTGACTTACGTAACTCACATAATGGATGATTAATTATTGATAATTTGATATTGAGAAGGGTGGAAAAAAAGAAAAAAGTTCTATTAATGATAATTATATAAGTTAGGTGGATTTTTTTAATGTTTACGAATACGCCACAGACCCTACATAAAGTAAGATGACACTATGATTTTGAATTAGGAGAAAAGGGGAGAAAGAGTTAAATAGAGAAATAAACAATGATAATTAAATTTTTGTAAAGTCTCGAATCGGGAAAAAAATGTGGGTAGAAAATAACATTACAGTTTATGCACAAGTAACAGGTCAGTAATCAGTATGTACCAAAAACGAAAAAAAAGGTCAGTTGTGACGGGAACGGAAATTGGTTTGAATCTTTGGGCTTTGAAGATCCAGTGGTTCTTACGCACGTCCATCATCATCGTAGCTGATCTCCCGCTAGTGGCCTAGTGGTACCAAGGGAGTGTTTGGTAAGGGGGTAATATTAAACTTTTGAAAAATTAACATTGGAAGTTATGTTTATCCATGTTTAATATAAGGAATTTGCATTCATAATTTAACATGACTACAAAAAATTTCTTACACACAGAACATTTTGTGAAGCCTGCAGCAAAAAAAATAAATTTCGGCACACAAAACGAATCTCTATAACATAACACAATTACTTTTCCTACAACATAACTCTTATAAAACCCTTAACATAAATATTGTAAACAATTTTTTGGAATTCCAATTTGTGAAGCAAATTTTCACCAAAAAATTACAAGCTCCCACGTGTAAAATTACCATCTCCAGGCACTCACGAACTCCCATTCCACGTTTCTTCCTAGAGATTTAGTTCTGTATTTTAATAATTATTGGTTCTCTCTAGACGTATTTTTCCTCTCTTTTTTAATATTAATGATTAGTTAGGATCAACGAGTAAATTCTTAATATTTTATTCATTTTGATATTATTTTTTTTGTAGAAAACAAATAAACAAATATAATAGGAATTAATATTTCTATGCATACATATGACTCATATTTTTTTTTTCTTTTCATATAGATTTACATGACATTTACACGCTCTTAGGTAGTTCGGTGTATACAGAAAATAAAATTATATCTTATAATATTAAAAAAATATTATTTCCAATATAATAATGAGAGAAGGTGAAACCAATTCTTAAACTCACACGAGCTGTTATTTTTTTATTATTATTGTTTTGATATTTCGGCCAATTGTTGGGTATAAACATGGAATGTACCATAATGATGAGGCATCTTAGGTGTCTGATTCGGAGCATCTTATGTAGATTCCTTCCTCTCTTCCCCATAAAATCTTCATTACTCACTCTTTCTCCTCCCCCTCCCTTCTTCAAACCCATTAGCATTTTCCAAATTATTCACTTCAACTCAACTCCACCAACAATTATTGACACATAAACAGAGAAAATGAACATCTTGGAGTATTCTCCTCTGGAGCCTCTAGCTTTCAACTACTTGAACTTTGGTTTCCTCACACTCTTAAACAATTTATTGACTCGCCTCGCCGTCACCTTCTGGAGGATTCGGGCCCCTAAATCCGAATTACTCCCTCCTTCCGATGACCCGACATCCGAGACTACCGACCCGGATCCGGTGGTATCGGAGCCTGATGATGCGGTTCGTGAGCCAGCGCGTGTTCCAACTGTGGTTGGTAACGGCGGCGCTGACGACGTTGACGGTGTGACCAAGGGAAAGTTTACCTTGTATTACGAGGATGACAAGGAATACGAGAGTGACGAGACGTTAACGGTGACGGAGGTGTGGGATGAGAAAGAAGGAAGATCTGAGTGGTGGGATAATTGGGAAAAGTTGTTGAGGATGAGGATGGGAGAGAACGAGGATGGATGGTACACGTGCCAGGATTTAACGTCGCTTAACGGGAACGTTGTTAGGTTGTGGGATGGTGGGTTGAGGTTTGGGACATTCACAAAGGAATCAAGGGACAGCTCAACCTGTGTTCGTATGTGGTAATAATTTATAGCATAGCTTGTTAGATAGACTATTAAGTGTTGTACGTAGTACTGGATTATTAGTCTCTCCATCAAGAGTGAGAGATTATTGAGAATGTATATATGGTAATTTGGTAATGTGTTTCGATAACGATCATCTTCATCGTTCCAATCTCAAATTACTGAAACCCAAATGTTTAAAGCAAGCTTTTGCTTTCGTTTTTTTTTTTTTTTATCTCTTTAATTCTATGATTCTTTAGCTTTTTATTAACCATATGTAAGTTCTAATATTTGAAAATAAAGTTTTAAAAAAGTGCCAAAAAGTAATGAGTAGTGAGATTGTTGTGCTCTGCAGGCAAAAGGCTGATTATCTCAAATGGCCGAAAGACGTGTTAAGAGCTGGGAAAGGAAAAAATAAAATAAAATAAAAAATTAAGAAGTTGTTTGCTGAATGTTGATATATCTAAGCTGGGAAAGGCTTTTGTTTTATGAACCATTGCATATACTAAAAAATCATTAATTAGGTTAATTTTTATATGTTGCCAAACATCATTAATTTAAGAAGTTATAGTTGAAGTTTACTGCTGGTAATTGGATTCCTACTGTTTTGTGTTTGTGTGTAAAGGAAAACATATTTGAGTAATATTGCCAATCATTTGAGAATATGCCAATATGTACAGAGAAGGGATATTTTTACTACCAAAATTTTTCACTATTAACTTACTACCTATTTAATAATCATTGGATCAAAGAGAGAGAATGTTAAAAAGTTTTTGAAGAGAGAGAAAATGTTAATCCAATGATGATTAGATAGGTAGTAAGTTAGTAGTGAAAAATTTTGGTAGTAAAAATATTCTTCCTCGTATGTACAATAAATACTCTTTGCTATTTCAAAAATAATTATCTTCATTGAGATAAAGAGTACAAAAAACAAACAACAGGTCGAAAAGCACAACCCCAATAGACATACGTAGCTATCATGCGAACTGTGCTAAATTCCGAGCTACTAAAAACCCACTAGCTAGGTCAATTTATCTATGTTACCAAATATCACTAATTTTAGAGGTAGCTGAAGTTTACTGCTGGTAATAGTATTCCTACGGCTTTTCGTTAGCAAGACAAATTTGGGTAATATTCTCCATCATTTAAGAATATGCCAATATGTACAATAATTACACTTAACTACTTCAATTTATTATATTAATTAATTAGATAAAAGCACCGAAAACCAAAAACAGAAAAACACAACCCTAATTGTCCAATAGGTTTATCATATCCCTCGTATATGGAGCTTTGATAATGTGTTTGGTGATTGCGGTCAGTTTGAAACTGTTCGCAAAATCACATGCTATATTGCTATATTTATTTATTTAATTAGGTATAATTTTATTTATTTAAAGAAAATATGTTTCAATTCTGTCTCATGTAATACATAAAAAATGAATGGTATTCATTTTTTTCTTTCTCACTTCTTCATGATGAATTCTATCTACTTTTTATGTGTATCACATAATAAAATTTATCTTATGTCTCGTGTTCCCCTTTATTTAAAATTTAAAGTGATATGCATGGTTTGTTTTTCTGTTTCGGATCTAAATCAAATTTCTTTACTCAAGGTACCCGTTTTTCCATAAATTCTTATCGCAATAAATGCTTCTCTCCTTGTCTTTATCTCTTCTAGTATTTCACTGACTTTTGGATGTATAAGTTATGGAGTATATTAACCAAACTAGGACAACAAAACCAATTTGATATGTAGCTGAGAGAGAGAGAGTCATGTGGCCTATACTAGTGGCCGCAAGCAGAGACATAATTTCGTGTCTGCAGTTCAACGTATGAGACAATTATAATGTTAAGACGATTTTCTGATTATAGATAGTGACGCCCCAACTCGCAATCCCCCACGAAAAGAAAGAGCCTCTCAACATTCAATGACACGCATGAAGCATCTTCCTCTCTATCACTTGCTCTCTAAGCGACAGTTCACATAGGTCTCTTAGAGTGTCAATATAGGTTATGACACGTGAATCGACTCGCGACACGACACGAAAATTCGTGTTCAGGTTGATCCGTAAAAAAATTTGTGTCGTATTGTTAGAAAAAATGACACGTAAAAAATTCGTGTCGTATTCGTGTTGAGGTATTTGTGTTTGTGTCGACTCATATTTTTTTAAAATTATTCTATTTTTTTATTTTATTTTTTATTTTTTTTTATTTTGAACCATTTTTTTAAATTTTTTTTGTTAATTACCGTTTTGACCCTTATTTTGCGTGTTATTCATGTCGTGTCGTGTCAACCCGCAAAAAATTCGTGTCGTGTTAGTGTTAAAGATTTTGATACGAATAAAAATTCGTGTTGTGTTAGTGTTCATGTATTTGTGTCTTGTCAAATTTATGTCGTGTCAACCCGTTTTGACTCTCCTACTAAGTACAACACTATCCTTTTTTCATGGTTACGTGGATTTTCAACATTAATCTTTGGGTTTACTAACTTCAAAAATTCTCTTACAAGAAGTTTGAACTTTTGCATTTTGCAACTTTATGTAATGGTTATGTGAAAGAATGTAAATGAGTAAAAACGATGTACTCAATTGTGTACATCTGATGCACCAAAATTTTAGGCCAAATTACATTATACCACCCTGTACTTAGTTGCTTTTTCAGAATTACATTAGGCCAGAATTTTATCTGTACATTTGGACGTAACTTCTAGAAAAAGCAAAATTCAAAAAATAAAATGATATATTTTTTAAAGCCAATATTTCTGGCATAAGAAAAAAAAAATAGAGCCAAAATTTTTTTTTTGAAAAAATTAATTTTGCCCAAATCCCGCTCTTGTTACTCTCACTCGAGCAGTACATTATCATTACATGTCTTTTTAAATACTACTGGGGGTCTAAGGGAAAAGTCAAAAATTGAAATATATAAAAAATACTTTTAAAAAAATCATTACATGTCTTCTTATATATTTCATCCAAATACAAACATTTTTAAAAATTCGTTCTTTGCAAAATCCCCTCCAAATGGATGCTTAATGATTTGGCGACCATTTGCCTCTACAACATTAACTTATTGGAATATCGGAACGTACTTAACAGGAAGCATGTATTACTTGATTCTGAAATTCTGCCTTTTGTTAATAAATAATAAATTAGATCCAAATTTTGACTTTAAGCACTATACGAAGAAGTACTAGCTTTCAATACAATTATTTCGTCTAACATGCCTGTCGTGTGCTTCGAGGCTATAATTTTTTCAACGTGACAATCTTTACTTAAATTGTGACTAAGAGGCTAGGTTTGTTTACTAAAAGGAATCAAAGCTCATGGAAGAGTCTTCTTTTTAACATTGGCATGCACTAAGCTCTCGGGTGCATTTAACAAGTTCTGCATTTAATTTGACGTGATTGTACGAATATAATTAACAGGTAACCTTATTACAGGAGTAGAATTAGTTGTCACTGTCTTGTTAATATTCTCAATTTAATGTATAAGAAATTATAGGAATAGAATTAACAAGTAACGTAATTATAGGAATAGAATTAGCTATCAACGTAAATTCAAATTGTTGTATTCTTTTGTATTTAAGAGCCATGTTGGCACAACAATGAAACCAGCCTAATCTTTTCAGCTTGTTATGGTATCAAAGAGCATTTTTTTCTATCCTTAATCGGTAAACCATAGTTGGACAATGGCCAGCAAGAGTGACCATGATAGCGAAAGTTCAAGGGCATCCTAATCTTCTGCTACCTAGCCTAAACACAAGATCCTCAACCCACAGTTTCTATACGGCATCCTTTGACAATCCAGGCATCCAATTAACCAATGCCTTGTTGAAAGGATAGAGCAATTATGGTATTTGGAGTAACATCTCGGGCGTTGACGGAGGCAAGGAGTAGATAGTCCTTTGACACGTGGGTTGGATTGTACTACCAGTCAAAAATTCCAATGTTTGGAGTCCAGACCCGCTAAGGTAGGAGGGCTATGACAGTAGGTTCCTAGCAGTCTTCCAGCGAGAGGGGTACATGAATAAATTGAATCAACACCCTCAACGAGAGGGATCAAGAGACTGTGAAGGTATGAGACTGTATAGTTGATGATGGCTTAAAGGAATTAATATTAACAAGATGGATATACTTTTCAGTAGCCCATAATTTAATAACTTCATAGTTAAGTATGCTTAAAAATTTTAGGACGGGTGACCTCCTGAAAAATTTCTTACGAGGTGTATAAGTGAGGACAAGCACGCTAGAAAGTCACGTATTGATTTGTGGGGACAGTCATTGATCATGCAAGTGACCGGGCATCACACTAAGGCCAAAGCTATAAAGAATGCCTTACGAGCCAAAAATAATTTGGATTTTGTTACTATCATAGCTGTTGAACCCGTGGATGTTGCCTATTTAGAGGGTCGAGCATGGGTCATTGTCAATTCCATGATTATGGGATGGCCACAATACAATTGACCCTAGCTTGCAACCCTACATCCAGTATTTTGACACAGTTAAGCAATTATGGGATGATCTCCGGGAAAGGTATTGTATTGACAACGTGTCTCGTGTTTATTAGTTGAAACAATCACTGTCGAGTATTAAGCAACATGGATCGTCTATCACGACTTATTATACCAAGTTGAGAACTGTTTGGGATGAATTGGACTCCCAAAAATCACATCAATTTGTCTTATGGGGTTGCTTGTCTTGTTTCTAAATCCCTTGTTGATGAACAAGAAAAAGATCGCGTGTATCAAATCTTGATGGGGGCTTGATGATGAGATTTTTGGGATTATCAAGACTCAAATTTTAAACATTATTCCGTTGGTGTCTCTGAATAAGGCATATGCTATCAAATCTCAGGCAAGTTGATATAAGGTTATTGGTTGTGCAGTTCAGTCCTTGACTCAACAATCTTCTGGTTTCAATACCCAGCAATAGCCACAATGCCAGGGAAAAGATCAACATCGTCCATGCCTCCGTGCGTCAATTGTGATAAAACTAACCATCCCTCTAGTACTTGTTGGCAGGTTATCGACGACTACCTTAACAATGCGGGTAGAGGACGTAGATGTGGATGTTGACAAGGAAGGAGAGGCCATTTTGGGCAAGCTCATGAAGTCCAAAGTGACAATTTTGCCTTTCTAGCAATACATTCGACCTTGACTCCTGATATAGTCCAATATTGTCTCCTTACACTGGTAGAGCAGCCTCAT